GAACTGACAGTGTCTTCGTTGGGCCTGTCAGTCGTGCACTGCCCCCCTGCATTGGTATTATGATTAGAAAGGGAGAGGACAGAAGGAAGAAAAAGAGAGAAGTTTTACATCTATTTAGATGTTACACGCACAGAGGGGCTTTTACACAGAGAAGTCTTTACACAAAGGAGCTTTTTACATACAGAAGGTTTTACACAGAGAAGTCTTTACTCTAAGGTGCTTTTGCAGACAAACGTCTAGGAGCTTTTACACACAGAAGCGTTTACACGAAGAAGTCTTTACACAGAGGGCTTTTTACACACAGACGCGTTTGCACACAGAAGCTTTTACACAGAGAAGCCTTTACACAGAGGAGCGTTTACACACAAAAGCGTTTACACACAGCAAGCTTTTACACACACACAGGGGCTTTTACACAGAGAAGCCTTTACACAGAGTACCTTTTTACACACAGAAGGTTTTACACAGAGAAGTCTTTCCTCTGAGGAGCTTTTTCACACAAATGTCTTGGAGCTTTTACACACAAAAGCTGTTACACAAAGAAGTCTTTACACAGAGAGCTTTAACACACAGACGCGTTTACAAACAGAAACTTTTACACAGAGAAGCCTTTACACAGAGAGTTTTTACACACGGAAGCTTTTACACACAGAGAAATCTTTACACAGACGTGCTTTCACACAGAGAAGCTTTTACACAAAGAAGTCTTTACACAGAGAAACTTTTACACACGGAAACTTTTACACACAAAAGCTTTTACACAGAGAAGCCTTTGCACAGAGGCGCCTTTACACGAAGTAACAAGTTGAAATTGGCAGCAGTTCTTTAGGAAAAACCCTTCGCAGGAGCTTTCGGGAACTCACTTGCTCCCCAAAAAAACGTCTATTCCAACAAATATGTTCCAAAAAACCTAAGGAATATATTTCTGAAGCAGGTCCTCATTCAGTAACTTTCACGCCCACACTGCGATGAAATGGAGGGCCGAGTGGTCCGGCGGAGCCGACGATGAGCGTCAGCTCAAAAATATCTACACACATATATATACATATGGTGCAGTGTTGGCCAGCCCCCCTCCCCTCCCCACCAATGGGTATGGGTGGACAGTATCGTCTGGTTCTTCTGGTCCCCCCCCCCTGTGGCCTGTGGTGGTGGTATGGTTCTTCTGGTCCCCCCCCCTGTGGCCTGTGGTGGTGGTCTGTTGGTATGTTGGTATGTTGGTATGTTGGTATGTTGGTATGTTGGTATGTTGTATGTATGTATGTATGTATGTATGTATGTATGTATGTATGTATGTATGTATGTATGTATGTATGTATGTATGTATGTATGTATGTATGTATGTATGTATGTATGTATGTATGTATGTGTGTGTGTGTATGTATGTATGTATGTATGTATGTATGTATGTATGTAGGTATGTAGGTAGGTAGGTAGGTAGGTAGGTAGGTAGGTAGGTATGTCTGTGTGTGTGTATGTGTGTATGTATGTATGTATGTATGTATGTATGTAGGTAGGTAGGTAGGTAGGTAGGTATGTAGGTATGTATGTATGTATATATGTATATACACCACCACAGGGGCATCATACCCCCCCCATCCCATGGGGGGGGGTGGGAACACGGGACACGGGACCATATATTGCTTAAAGCCCATGTTCCATTGGACAAAGCGATTTGACCCACCAAGAGGCCCTCCTCATCGGCCAGCACTTCATCCGCCCAGCGTGAGCCGCGAAGCTTGGAGAACCCCCAAGGCCAAGAAGTGGCGGTCCACATTTCATCAATGGGTTTCTCCTCCTTCCGAAAATGGGAGATGCTATGGTGATTATCTGTAGTACCTATAGATTACATTATAGATTATGTATTTATGTATATATATATAATATATATATATATATATACATATATATATACATATATATATATATACATATATATATATATTTATACATATATATATATTTATTTATTTATTTATACATATATATATATATTTATACATATATATATATGTGTGTTTTTAATATCCATATCAATGATTCTTATCAATCTCATACAATGTGGGGCACCCTAGCTATCCTAGCTAGCTCAGTTGGTTTGCAACTCCAGTAACTATGGTTACTTAGGTTACGTACAACTATAGTCAATGGGGGTTACAACTGGGGGTCCCACATTGTAGCATTTGAAAATAGGGAATATGTCATGGGGATACTTCATGGGGATATAAACCCACGAAATAATGGGTAGATTCATTGGGGATATTTATGGGATGTAATTATATAATTATAATAATGATAATAGTGATAATAAATAATCATCATACTGATTCGTAGATAGAATGACTGTGAATGTCAAATGTCCAATCCCATTTTAGTGATGTTTTTTCCCCACCTGCCAGGTGAGGGTTGCTAGATTTTATCTAAGTTGCCTGGTCCTCCTCCTCCTCCTCCTGCCGCCTCCTCCTCCTCCTCCTCCGCCTCCTCCTCCTCCTCTCGTTGTCCTCCTCGTCCTCCTGCTCAACTGCGACTCGCGATCCACAGTGTTCGCTGTCGGACCTCAACCACGACCATCCACGCCCAGTGTTCCCTGCCGGACCTCAACCACGACCATCCACGCCCAGTGTTCCCTGCCGGACCTCAACCACGACCATCCACGCCCAGTGTTCCCTGCCGGACCTCAACCACGACCATCCACGCCCAGTGTTCCCTGCCGGACCTCAACCGCCAGTATCCACGCCAAGTGTTCCCTGCCGGACCTCATGTAGGAAGATATGGGACAAAGAATGTGCAGAAGAAAGTTAGAAAGAATGTCAGAAAGAATGTCAGAAGATATGCCAGAAGATATGCCAGAAGATATGCCAATAGAATGCCAGATAGAATGCCAGAAGATATGTCAAATATATATGCCAGATAGAATGCCAGATAATATGCCAGAAGATATGCCAGATAGAATGCCAGATAGAATGCCAGAAGATTTGCCAGATAGAATGCCAGAAAATATGCCAGAAGATATGCCAGATAGATATGCCAGAAGATATGCCAGAAGATATGCCAGAAGATATGCCAGAAGATATGTCAGAATATATGCCAGAAGATATGTCAGATAGAATGCCAGAAGATATGTCAGAATATATGCCAGAAGATATGCCAGATAGAATGCCAGATTGAATGCCAGAAGATATGTCAGATAGAATGCCAGAAGATATGCCAGATAGAATGCCAGAAGATTTGCCAGATAGAATGCCAGAAGATATGCCAGAAGATATGCCAGATCATATGCCAGAAGATATGCCAGATAGAATGCCAAATAGAATGTCAGAAGATATGTCAGATAGAATGCCAGAAGATTTGCCAGTAAGAAAATGTATAAATGTCATGGTGGGGATCACACGAAGTAAAGTAATTTGAGAGGTTAATAGAAACTACTTCAGGATGACTACCATTTAAAAGGGATATATGGGGATTGAACTACCAGCAAATGAGAATAATCCCTAAATATGTAATAATCCTCATATATTTTGCAAATATCCTTTAAAATGATATGATATACCATCATATATCGTATATAATCATTAAATAACGTTATTAATATGATGATGATGATGATGATGATGATGATTCTTCTGATGATGATGATGATGATGATGATGGTATAATAATTATATTAGCAAGATTTAGCAATCAAATAATATATATAATTAACAATCATATAATGATTCATAATGGTATAATTCGGAATAATCATGATGATCAGCCATGGCTAGCCCTCAAAGTTCGATGGAACGAACTACCGCGGCTGGAATGGCCTGCTGGAATGAGCCTCCAAGTGGTGCTACAAGTCCTACAAGTCCTAGTGGTCGTGGCTTGATATTATGTATGTGTATATATATATATTATATTATATACCCTCTGGTAAACTAACATAACTATGGACAATCACCATGTTTAATGGGAAAATCCACTATAAATGGCCATGTTCAATAGCTATGTTAAATTACCAGAGGGTATATATAGCAACCCCCCAAAGAAAAACGAGAAGTTGAAAACCTGGAAATGATGTGACAAAAGCTCTAGAAAAAATCCTGGTTTGACACTGTTCAGCCTCTACTTGGGGGCAGGATTTTTAGGCCTGGTGAACCATGATCAAGCAGTTTCATGATGCTGATCCATTGTTCTTTATTCAAAGAAAGTAACAACAACTTGGGGTTACGATGATCCCCCAAAACCTACTAGGGATGATCATGATATGATGGCTTCTGTTCAGCAACAAAGTGAGGCTTTCAAGCAAGAAAGCGTTTAATCGTTACTGCAACCGCTTTTTTTGAAAGGAAACCCCATTGGCTTTACGATCCGAAAATGACAACAGCAAGGTTGATTTCAGCAACACGTCATTTTTTGGATGTTGCCCGGCAGCATTGATGGAAAATCCGCCATGCATTCAGGGGATGCTTGACACGGACGCGTGTCAAAGCCATTTTTCAAATCCTCTGTGAAGCCTCACTGAACCATCACATATCATCACATAACAAATTGTAAAGCCTGCAGTTGTGGGCACCCTCCGACCTGAATTCTTTGAATTCCATTGAATTCCCATGGATGGTCTAAGAATCAGCTGCCTCTGTAGCCTAAGTTTCGGGTATCTCACATGCCATATATACCCAGCCTGGTAAACATACAAAAAGCTATTGAAAATGGCCATAAACATAGTTGATTTACCAATTATATAAACATGGTGATTTTCCATAGCTATGTTAAATTACCAGAGGGTATATATATATATATGTATATATAGTGTTGGTTCTATATCGAGCAAGGATGGGCAAGGGAAAATTCACCCATGATTCACTGGTGAGGTATCGAACTTGCCTATTATGTGGAGTTGGGGTAATGGTATGGGTGAATTACCTGAATAATCGAACTTAACCAGTGAATAATGGGTGAATTACCTGAATTGTATGGGTAGTATGGCTGTAGTTTACCCATAACTGCTTGGAGCAGGATCTCCAGTGTACTTTGTGTTGGCTGTAGATCTCCATTGGATTCCCCCTAAAAAATCCCCCAAAAATCCAATAAATCTCCATTAAATCCATTAATCTCCATTAATATATGGTTATTATATGGTTATTATATGGTTAATGATGGTTAATAATAATCTGGTTGGTGGGTTCAACCAACCCCTCTGAAAAATGATGGAGTGAGTAACAGTTGGGATGATGACATTCCCAACTGTTGGACTGAATGGGAAAACAAAATTCCATGGTTCCAGTCACCACCAACCAGATTGAATCTCCATGTTAGACAAGGCCATGATGCCATAGAAACACCCAAAAAACTCTCCTCAATGAGGTGAACCAAACTCAACATCTCGTCCTTTGGCTCCTTGCGCTGACGACGTGATGCCATGCCCCGAAAAGTAAAACAATAGACCCAAGGGGAACATACAGAAAGATATAGAGAAGATATGGAAAAACTATGTAACTGAACAAGGGGACAGCCAAATCCGTGACCGCTGGCTTTCCCATCAAACAGCTACAATTTGCCAGCAATATATATATATATATTAGTATAGGGAATTATAGGGATATAGCAAAATGGTTCCGACTAAACCATTGGAATTTGGTATTCCAATTTCATAATGTTCAGATATTTGGTTAATACCATGGCTACCATATGTTCATATTGGTTATGTCCCAGAATATTAACCATGGCTCACCATTGGTACCATATATTCAGACAAACCCAAAAAAAAACTGCCCAATGAATCTGATGAATCTGCTAGATCAACCAAAAAAAGTTTTCGGAAAACCACAAAATCACAGATTCAACCCATTTCTGGTGAATTAGCCCCATAAATGTATGTATATACATATATACATAATATTAATATAGTATATATTCTTTGAAAAAAATAGTTCATCAATTTCATCCCATTCTTTGTGGCTTCAAGATCTTCAATCCATTCAAATCCCGAAGTTGTCAAGTTCCTGTGCAAACACCACCATTTGGGTTTGTCTGAAAATAAGGCACTCCCAATTCCAATGGATTATCATTATGAATCGCCGTTTTTTTTGGGACCGTTATGTTATGTTCCTAACCCGATTTTCCGATCCATTTCTAAATCCTTGGCCCCCCATGGCCCCATGGCCCCCCCTTAAAAAATATGGGTGTGTCTGAAAATAGTGTACCCCTAAACCCAGCAATGGTTAATGATCATTATCCCTATTAAATGGCTATAATTGGGAATATACCCTATTTTCAGACAAACCCATATGAAAATCACCACACTCCGAGGCTCACTAGGCTCCACCAGCAACTCGGCCTCTGTCAACACGCGCCGAGGACCCTCCGGCCCTGCGAACCATACCACGGGGCTGCCTGTCACCTGGGGAAGCGCCGGCGCCAACGTGGGGCTCGGGCTGGGCGTGGGGAGGAACACTGGCTGTTCAAGCTCCTGGAGGTTGGCGGAAAATGTGGGAAGATTTGGGATCGAATCGTGAGAGTTTGACGCCTTTCATGGGAAATAGATAGGGTGTTTTGATTTTTTTGACCATGGATGGGATGATGATTTACTATTTTACTGGACTATGATGATTTACATGATGACCATGTATAGTAATGGACCTACAACAATGTTTGGTTCGTTCTTTTTAACCATGCAGAAATTTAGGGTTCGTTTTGACACAATTTGACCCATAAGTTTGGCAAATTATGTATTTTTATATATCTATAATTCATATATTCATATTTATATATATAATATATATATGTAGCTCAATAGGATATACATGAATTCCATGCAGGGTTGTTTCCTATGTCTCCTCTGTAAACTTTTAGCAACACCTTTTGGATCTGCAAAGAGGTTTGGACTGCAAAACTGGATCTGCTGCGAAACTGCTATGACAGGGCGAACTTTTCCGATCCAAAATAGAAGTGGAATCTACAATCAGTTGGTGGAAAGGCTCCACATCTACAGTACGTATACTTGGATTTGCTTAAGGACCCAAAAAAAACCTATAGATTGATGGATTTCCCATTGGAAAAGGAAAAAAATATCTTCAGCAAATCCAGGCAGAACACATGACAAAATCAAAACTATAGCCTTGCACAGTTGATGACAAAGCGTTCTCTTAAAATCCCAATCAAACCAAATTCAGAAGAGAAACACCCGATGAAACCCCCAAGATGACGTGTGGCAAAAAAAATAAGAAAAAATCGATGGAAATTGTATTCAATGACAATGTTCAGTTTTCGGGGATGCATGTCAAGTCAAAAAAAAACACAAGACTGAAGCAACATCAAACAGAAAAAAATGTTCTTCAAAAAATCCCTTCAAAAATCCTCAGGTGGGTTATATGGGGGTGATAAACCACCATGGCCATAACTGTTGAGTAGTTTGGGTCATAACTATTACCCTCCAAATAAATTGACATAGACCCTGCCAGATAAGGGATTGGAAGTCTACCTTCCTCTCAAAATGGTGAAAAAACTTGGGGTTTATGATGGTCTATGGCCATTTGGGGGATCTTTAAAATATCTGTACATACAATCTATGACATATATATTATATATACTATATCTATCCATATTAATCCATAATTTACAGTAATCCATTATTTCATAGATATATTGCCATTAATGTGGATCCAACATGGATTATATCTATATGAGTGGCGGGCACAATTACTTACTACTCGCAATGGACATGGCCAAAGTGAATGGTACCCTATCGGTTGTGAAGGTTTTGTTTTAACACAAATGTGAACATTCCAAGTCCACTCCCTACTACTTGAGTCTTCCACTAATTTTGTCGGTTACTCATATGAAGGTTTCCTGAAATGGGAGTACCCCTAAATCATCCATTTTCATAGGATTTTCCACTATAAACCATCCATTTTGGGGTACCCCATTTATGGAAACCCCCATATATACTTCATCCATATGTTCATCCAATTTTCATCGATCTCCTCAGGTTCCTCCACTGTGCCAGGCTCAGCCAGCCCTTCCGCCAGCATCGAAGCCTTTTCCGCCGCGGTGTCGTCGTCGGAAGCGTTGCTCCCGGAGACGGAACGCGGAGGCACCTTGGAAATAAAGGGCCGAAGATCACCATGATTAGATTCTAGCCATAGGGAGACCCTAAACAATGGGTTTCGAAGTCAAAATGTTTGGGGTGAAACGACTAGAATGACTAGAAATAGAATGAAATAGACATGGCTCTCCAGCGATGACACATTCTATAGTTTCTATAGGGATTTAATGGGGATAGGATTTAACCAGCAATAATCAACAACAGAGATATTGGGAGTCGAACTTCAAATGGACACATTTCAATGTGTCGTTTTTATGTGACACAAAAATGAATCAAACTATATCAAAGATGATTTTGTGAGAGCTACCCTCTGGTAAACTAACATAGCTATGGAAAATCAGCATTTTTTATGGGTAAATCCACTATAAATGGCCATTTTCAATAGCTATGTGACAAATTACCAGAGGGTAAACAAAAAAAAAACAGAGACTGGAAGAAGCCATTCACCTATCGCGATGGCCATCTACGCATCTGCTGGTTGAGCCCTTGCCCGAAACAATGGTCGGTTAAAAATTGGAAAAGAGGCAGGGCACCAGAACAATGTCAAGTTGACCCACTATAGGAATCAAGGCCTTGTCATTGCTACATCAACATCAGTAGGCCATTACTATTTGTAAGGATGTGACCCGCGTATTCTTGTGCCTCCAGTCCGAAGTTACATCAGATTTCGTGCAATTTAGATTCCAAAAACCTCCAAAAAGGATCACTAAGTCATGCAATTTAGATTCCAAAAACCTCCAAAAAGGATCACACTCAGTCACTAAATCCATCCAACATCCCATGTTTTTCAGATTTTTCCCCAGATTTAGCACCTTGGACTCAAAGGATGAAGACTCTGAACTTCCTGAACTTCGGTCCTGCCAGTGGGGCTGTAAGCGCCACATGCCATCGCCTCCTTCCGATTTCACCCCCGTCATCTCGATCTCGTTCTCCGCGGCCGCGGTCCCCGCGGTGCTCGCAGGTCGCGGCACAGTCCGAAGGGAAAACTTGAAGCCAAGACCGCCAAGAGCCAATGTGGCAGCCTGAGCGATTTTGTTGGGAACAAGTCCGAAAAGATGTGGTTTAAAACTCAAGTGAACACTAGTGAACACCCCTCTTCCCTACAGATTCCCCATATTTCTGGTGGGTTTTGGACAAAACATCTGCGAAAGGTCCAGCTTTTGATCAGCCAAGTCGCCGCGGCCAAGAGAACGGCGAGAAGTTGCCAGAGTTTTCCTCGACCAAGTGTGGATGGGATACGGTTTGGGATGTAGAACTAACAAAAATGTTGATTTTTCATGGAATTTTACTCATTCAACTTAAAAAATTTGATGATATTTACTGGAAGTCGTTGGGTTTATCTATCATGGTTATCTGTAGAGGATGAAACTAATCATACTAGAGATATCATGTGTATATTTGTTGGGATATACATATTGTAGCCAACCAATATCATAGGCCCCCCAACTCACTTAGGCCCTGCCATAAGTTGGGTTTTCACGGTGTACGTTTCTTGGCTGGGGGTAGATGTGTTCAGAAAAAGGTGGGATATACCATGATATACCCCCAATCTAGTCATTTGATGTCATTTGACAGGGAGAATGATGACCGTCCAGGTGATTTTGCGGGGGTACCATGGTTACCATGGAGTAGCATATGGACAAACCCAAAGTTTTAAAAGTATAGAAACCGGAGCCAACTGGCATCGATGATTGCCACTTCAGAACCTCACGTTTCTCGTCCATGGAAAGTGAAAATGGATCTGAAAAATGAGGGGAATATACCCTCTGGTAAACGTTTACATAACTATTGAAAATCAGCATTTTGAATGGGTAAATCAACTATTTCGACTGGGCCATGGCTTCAATAGCAAACTGTCACAGTCATTACCAGGCCGGGTAATGTTCCTAAACCTGCTGGTTCATCATTTTCCCAACATCCAGGTCCCTTTCCGGGTGTAAATCTGTCAGGATTCGACCGTCTTTTGACCACCGGCTGAAGAAGGAGTCTGCGGTGGAGTTCAACCAGTCGGCCGCGCTGCAGTTCAGCTGCAAACCCATCTGCCACCGCATTTGGTCCACCTCCGAGGTGCTGATCCCCCAGGCCCCATTTTTTTGTGGTTCAAAAAGCGAGATCTGCACCAGGGGTCAGGGGCGGAATCATGTTTTCACCGGACACGACGGTCCTGGTAGGTCCAACTGCCCAAGTCGTGGCGAAATCCCAAAAATCTTGAAATTAGCTTGGGGGAAGGCTTTTGTGGAAGTCGTGGCGATGCGGCGTTTAGCTTGTGTTTAGGGTAGGTTGCTGTTTTACTATCTCATGTAGACCTAAAGTGGCGAAGCGGCGTTTAGGTTGTGTTTGGGGTAGGGCGTTGTTTTACTATTAGCATAGTGCTTTAATCTTGCTAGTTGCGTTCTCATTGTGTTTGGGATGGTTGCTGTTGGGTTCTGCAGCTACTGGGGTCTTGCTGTTGCTGCGGCTGCTGGTTCGACGGCTGCTGCTGTTGCTGTTTCCGGGTACTTCTAATCAACGCTGGGATTATCATCTCTACACTGCCATGGCGGTGTGCTGGGATTCTGCAAATTGTCATTGTTTCGCTACCAGTGATTCAAGGAAGGGCAGGTTTGCGGCTTGCGGGCCAAAGTCCATGTGTGTAGATGCGGGGCTTTTTCCGTACCTCGTTTTGACCTCGTTTTGGACCTCGTTTTGGACCTCGTTTTTTTCCTTTATCAGAACCCATCCTGCAGTATACAAACTAGGAAAAGGGCCTGCTTCGCGTTTTTGTTTGTGGGCGTCAACAGTGCCCACGAAAAAATGGCCCGTTGGAAACCGGCGTTCCGATGGGATTCGATCAAAAACGAATAGAACCATGATAGTTTGGTCAAGGCTTGTTAAAGCGTTTCCAATGGGGAAAGGGGTTTTGCAAGGTCTGTGCCGGGACAGGGGTCGTGGCGAGCGTTTTGATTGGGAATAGCTGTCAAACGCAAACATTGCAAGGACTTTGGCGTAGGTAGGTAGGTGTGCGGAAAAATTGGACAAAACTCGTGACGAGCTAAGTGAGGTCGATCAACCCAAGTATTTTTGTTGGCCTACACATATTTCACTGAACAGCCTATGGAGATATCCTATGGATCACGTCTTGGATATAGCAAGTGCTCTATCCCTGGGTGGTATCAAATTATTAGCATGGTTCCATCCCTGTTTCTAGATTCTAGCCAACTGAGAAACCCAATGTGAGCGTTGCAATCTCACAGTATCCCCACGTCTAGTTGTTCCTACACCTTCCAATAGTGTGATTAAGTGTTGGGTTTGCCACATTATGTATAACCTTTATGACTTTATGTTCCTTTTTTTGGTTGAATCCTTTTGAATGGTTAGGTCCACATATTGTATACCTATGTGGCGGTCACATGTTCATTCAATACTGTTGATACTCAAACCTCACTACCTGGAACTCAACAAAAAAATGTATAACAAATATCTTAAGTAATCTTCAAAATCGGAAAATTGTTAATTAAAGTAATTCGTTGATTTCGATTGATAAACACATAATGCAATTGTCCAATCATCCAATCATTGTGAAAATCATCCCCTGTTTGTGAGAATCATCTGCAAACAGGGCTCTCCAGCATGCCAAGTTAGTATGTTCCACCAAACGGGTGTCCCCACCAGTTCCCGGGAACTAAGTTGCCTGGGTCATCATGGCATCTCGAGATACTTGAGCCGCAGCTAGGGAGACCTTCAGGATGGACGTTGATTTAACAATGCAAAATTGGAATTTCAATTGGAAATACAATTTGGCAATTTAGTTTACCAGAGGCTACATCAGTTGAATCAGTTTAGTTCTTGTGAATATATATATATAGGAAATTACTCTAAAGTCAAAGAATTTCAAGGGCAAATCAGAATTTAAGTGGCAAAAATCTGGTGAATTAAGAACAACAAAATCGGGATTCAACGGATCTCGGTTTTTTCGGCCCTCGGATCTCGGATCTCGGTGCACATCCCACGGTCTACCATAAATCCCTGCCAAAAAAAAACTGAACGTGTCCAATGAATGGTCAAGGGTTACCCTATCTACCCATAAAATCAAAAAAAACAATGGATAGCTATTTTTGGGGGAACTTGTGCTTTTCCACTTTTTTTTTGATTTCTGGTTCCCAGTTTCTCTGCTTTTCAGTTGTTCTGCTTTTCCGTGTTTCTTTGCTTCTCCGCTTTTCCCTGCTGGCCTGCTTCTCTGCTTTCCTGCGTTTTCCTGCTTCTCTGTTTCTTTGCTTCTTTGCTTCTCTGCTCCTTTGATTTTCTGCTTTTCCCTTCCAGACCCAAAACAATTCCGGACCCAAAAACAACTCCAGTATCCTCAGTATCCAGCCATGGAAAAACCCATGGGTTTCCACAATTTTTCATCCCCGCCTTGGCTTCACTGAAGCGTCCCTCTGAGCTCAGCGCATGCACCGGCGCCATCGGATTCAACGGCTCCGGCGACTTCTTCGAGGCGCCACCGGACGCGCGCGACGCACGGCGCCCGAGGCTCTGTTGAAGCTCATGCAGGCGGTGCTTCTGTTGCTTCACCTGTTGTCTTAACCTGGCAGGTTGATGCAGGTTGCCTCCCCCCAGGTCTAGTTAAGTTTTTACAAGCAACTGAAAAGATACCGGGAAAATGTGAGAGAATCATAGAGAATCATCTATTAAGTGTACATATGCTGAGAATACTGTAAATACTCCATTTCTATACAGAGAACCTGGCGATTTCGCAGGAAATCATTTTCTCAAGGTCGATGCCGGTAGAGGTTCGGGGTGATCTGCCATTTTTGGAGGATGCAAAGTAGAAAAGCATTGAAACCACCAACCAGTAATCATGTGCATTCGTTTGCCATAAACCCATGCTCCTAATATCTCCTAGTTAATATTGGACACCCCTGCAGAAGCCATGGTTTAGTAGGGGGCTTTACACATATGACTGGAACCACACTGGCCTGGGCCAATTTAGAGGGCCGAACCAGCCAACCCCCATTGCATCCCAAAGAAATAACTAAGAACCATCCGGGACCATGTCAACCATAGAAATCCATGGATACGGGGATACATTTTGGGAGATATCGACACTGTTTCAAACCCTGACTATTGATTGGAGGGTTACCCTCCAAAATGGTGATAGATGAATGAGTCCTAAAATAGGTACCCCCCCTTGTTTTTTATTAAGATGGTTTATTAATCCGTTGACATACACCATAACAACCCCGTCTCCTGAGGATCTGCTGGTCCTCGTTGCTGGCCAATGGTCGAATGCTAAGGCTGCACGATCCCAGCCGCAGTAAGTAGGCAGTTACCAGGATACCCACAGGGGATGGCATGGCATGCCGAGACACGGCGGCGCGATAAGCAGCCGTAGGGCCGTAGGGATCAACTTGAGAACACTGAGTTCACGGCGAAAACAGGATGGATCATGACCCCCAAAAAACAACTGTCTTCAAGTGATCCACGCCATGACATTCTATCTGAAATATATTCTTATATACATTTTGCACTTGCAATTGAGGCCCCACAGTGCCCACTAGATCTGACTCTCGCAGCTGAGGCCCGCCCGGCAGTGTCCACTGAGATCTGGCGCTCGTCGTTAAGGTCCAACAGCCCACTGAGATCTGGTCGCGGTTGAAGCACGGCTGTGCCGGCTGAGATCTGGCGCTCGCGGGTCCGGCAGTGCCCACTGAGATCTGGCGGGGGACGGGGGTCACATTCGCCCCTAAAAGAGGGTCACATTCGCCCCTAAACCAAAAGGGGTCACATTCGCCCCTAAACAACAATAATTTAAATATGTTACTCAACCCTTTAGGGTTTAACCTGGGGACAAGGGGACATTTAGGGGGACTGGGGTTTAGGGGGGGACTTGGGGGCATATGTTGACTTGTCTCTCTATTCCATATGTTACTCAACCCTTTAGGGTTTAACCTGGGGACAAGGGGACATTTAGGGGGACTCGGGTTTAGGAGGGGACATGGGGGCATATGTTGACTTGTCTCTCTATTCCATATGTTACTCAACCCTTTAGGGTTTAACCTGGGGACAAGGGGACCTGGGGTTTGGGGACATGGGGGCATATGTTGACTTGTCTCTCTATTCCATATGTTACTCAATTTAGGGGGACTGGGGTTTAGGGGGGGACATGGAAGCATATGTTGACTTGTCTCTCAATTGACATATGTTACTCAACCCTTTAGGGGTTTACCTGGGGACAAGGGGGTTACTCAACCCTTTAGGGGTTTACCAAGGGGGCATTTAGGGGGACTGGGGAACCTTTAGGGGGGGACTTGGGGGCATATGTCAACTGGCGACGAGCTACACCTGTTTGCTGCCACATGCAAGCAAGTCTGAAAACACGGGGACGTGGTTCCAATTTTTCCTTCGCCTCACTATTGCATATGCTTGCCAGTATATTGATCCACAGACTAGGCCCCCAAAAAGTGCGACCCTCTTGGCTGTGCTCAAAAGTCATCCGCCAAGGCTCTAAACAATCGCATGTTACATGGAATGGATGGTTTACAGGGTGCATCGGAGCCATAGGTTTGAAAATATGCTCACATAAATACACTGCCGCAAAAAAAAAAACACGAAGGCTTGCTTCCCACATTTTCCAGGCGAAAGACGCCAAGCCTCACCACGTGTCTACAACACGATAAACTCACATACATCTACGCAGAGCCATGCGCTTCCATGCGCTCTTCAAAAAAAAGACCGCTTAAAACATTTCCAAGTTGCTCGAACTGGATAGTACAACGTAGCATCCATAGTGTCCTAGAAGTTGATTGAAATGTCTCTTGGAAGGTAACATCCAAAGCGTCTTCGAAGTTGCTCGAGATGGATGTTACAACGTAGCAATGGAACACCGTAGCATGCATAGTGTCCTGGAAGTTGATTCAAATGGCTGTTGGAACGTAGCATCCAAAGTGTCTTCCAAGTTGCTCGAACTGGATCTTACAACGTAGCATCCATAGTGTCCTAGAGGTTGATTGAAATGTCTCTTGGAAGGTAACATCCAAAGCGTCTTGGAAGTTGCTCGAAATGGATGTTACAACGTAGCAATGGAACACCATAGCATGCATAGTGTCCTGGAAGTTGATTGAAATGGCTGTTGGAACGTAGAAAAACACGTGAATATCACTCTCTAGGGTGGAAAAAATCCTTTTGAGGCTCTGAAACTATTGCGCCTGCCACGCAAAAGCAGGGGTCACATTCGCCCCTAAACGAGGGTCACATTCGCCCCTAAACCCACTTCATCCCCCTTCATGTAGGGGCAAATGCGACCCAAGATGGTTTAGGGGCAAATGCGACCCCCGTGCCATCTGGCGGTCACGGTTGAGGTCCGGCAGTGCCCACAGGTCTGGCAGTGCCCGCTGAGATCTGGCGGTCGCAGTTGACGCAGAGGCAGAGTCCGAGGCGGAGGCAGGCGGAGGCAGGCGGAGGCAGGCGGAGGCGGGCGGAGGCGGGCGGAGGCGGGCAGCACCCCTGATAAAATCATATAAAATCTAGAGACCCTGGCAGGTGGGGAAAAACAGAGACGATGTCCATCATTTTTCAGTTTTCAAGTTTAGGGGGTGTAATCTTACAAATCAAACCTGAAGTTCTGGTCGTCTTTGGAGACCCGACAACCCTTTGGCGTCTCGAAATGCACTATTCCAATGGGTTTGGGCAAGAATTGAGGACCACAACAGTTGAATAGTTCCATTGCCAGTCGCCAAGAACATGTGATTCCTATCTTGGTATCATATGTTCCATGTTGAAAAAAAAACATCAATTTACCACGCTTGACCACACGCATCCCCAATTTTTCTTTGTCCAAATATGATGTGACCCTACAAATTGTGGTGTGTGTTCACAGGACAAGTGATGACAATCCGATGGAATCTGCTGGAATTTCTGCCGGTTGGTTGATGTCGATTCCCACAATGGGTCCTTGTCCTCCACAATACATCATGGCTAATCTTAGACACTCTGCAGAAAATAGTTAATTCTTTTAATGTATATCATAATATACATATACATATTATATACATGTAAACATTATATTATAATATACACTATGAGTATATCATCTATAGACGTCGTATGTTCTCTTTTCCCACATATATTTAAAAAAATAAGAAAACAACCACACAACGAAGGACCTGCTGCAGCCGCGCTAGGGTGAAGCCCAAGGAAAAGGTCGTGAGGCTCCACAAAAGCAGCGACCAGGCTACGAATTTCCAGAAGTTCTGCCGCAGGCTCTTCCTGCATGTTTATCATCTATTTCTATGGGCCATTAGCTTCAAGGCGGAAAGCCATTACTCACTACAGTCCATTACGGTATATCCCCGGTATTCTTTGATTCTTAAGCCCGTGTAGAGCATAGTTTGTAAAGCTTATCAAGGGCGAATCTTAAACAGCAACAACCAGTTTACCCTGTGGTTATTTAAGCTAGCTATGGAAAATCACAATTTTCAATAGCTGAATCGTCATGTATATCATCTATTTCTATGAGCCATGGCTTCCATAGCTATTTTAAATCACCAGAGGGTAAGGCATTATTACCCATCTTGTTAACTATCTTCCTGCAGACTTCATTGAAGCGGCTGCGGAGCTGACAAAAACACAGATTTCAGCAAGGAACATATGGGAATTGAATGATGCGATATAATAGGATGTTCAAATTTTGATGGATGTTAATGGGATACAACATACATGGAGATTTCATCAACAAAATTGGGGATATCATGATGATATCATGGTTTTCAGAATTAATGGGTGTTCATGGAGGATATTTCAATATAATATATTTTAATATAATTTCATAACTGTATAACTCACCACCGATATATGATTGTTTGAAGCGCAAATTTCTTAAACAGTTGGATTATCATTGATTGTGCAGATTGTATTTGTGGATCGATTTGTTTGGGAGCTTCAACGGAAATCCCAAAGCCTGTCTGAGTTTTTTTTTTGGATTTCTGAACGGGGCATGAACCAAAAATTTGGGGAATCATCAAAAAGAATGAGGAAGTTTCAGGACATGAACCAAGTCGACTCTCGGGATACCAAGAAAATTATTCGGATTGACCATCTCGAGATTTTTTTCGCATGCTACAGGACGGGATACATAAGGATACATAGGGCAAATGAAGCACCAAACTTTGTCATTTTAGGGAGATGTTTGAATTTCATCCACACGTGCCATGGTCAAAACATGGAAACAATTGATGTATACCAGGCCTGGTAAACTTACAAAAAGCTATTGAAAATAGTCATAGAAATAGTTGAGTTACCCATTAATAGCATGGTGACTGTCCATATTTATGTAAACGTTTACCAGAGGGTATAGGCTATGGTCATCTATCCGATATTGCGAATCCAAACATAATGCGTACATAGATCCCTATGAAAATGGGTTGATGACCATCCCCTTTTATAGGAATATCAACCATGTTTTGACTATGACACACGTGTTCATGTGGTCAAATGATCATCGGACACCCAAGGCGTCCCGCAGATGTAGTGGATATGGCCGTTCAACGGATAATGCCACGGAAACAACAGTGGCTCGCTGGGAACTCGTCAAAACAGAATTTGCATGACTGGTTGGTGGTTTTGAGCTATCCCTCTGAAAAATATGCGAAAGTCAGTTGGGATGATGAACTTCCCAATAGATGGAAAGTCATAAAAAATGTTCCAAACCACCAACCAGTGATTATTAACCATTATTAACCATCATTAACCATCATTAACCATCGGAATCTGGTTGGTATTTTTGTTTATCCGAAAAAGCCAACGTGAAAGATGAACCAAAGCAGGGATCACCCAGCAAAACAGGAGTGCACAGCTCCGAAACTGTCCCCAATTGCCCAGAAATTGAAAGTCACATAAATACAAAGCTTCTTTGCTTCATGACATGTTCCAATTTTCCAATTTTACATGGTTTTGTTCGGAAACCGCTTAAATGGATAGATTTCAGGCATGTGTAAAATCACAAGTTATCAGTAGCTGTTCTTTTGTTTTTCTATCCTAACTTTGGGTTTTTTTTCGATAAGAATTCAGCTGATGGCTGGGACTGGGGAGGTCGTTGGGTCGAAAAAAACCTAAGTGGTTGGTTCATTGATTTCAGGATCCGAACAAATTGGAACCCGACCAGAAAAATCATCTATAGCTCGGTAGCTCCCATTTTTTGGGATGTTTTGGAGCTCTATGAAAAAACCTGATGTCTATCTATATTTTTAGGGCTCAATTTCAGGATATAGCCCCAATTTCAATGGCATGGTCCAGTTAGAATTGATTTACCTATGAATCATGGTGATTTTCCAGTTCGTTTTTTGTATGTTTACCAGAGAAAAAGTGATGACAATGCTCATCAACTGGGGCGCACGGATTCCACCAGGTCCCTCCCAGGCACCAGTGTGCAACAGGCGAATCGACCCACTCGAAGAACAAAGGATGATTCCTGACCGTGGACGCTGAAGAAAACGGGTGATTTAAAGGGATCTAAAGGGATGAAATAAGGTGATTTATGTGGAGTTGATATGTTTCTGTTTGTTGGTTGATATTTATCGATATATGGCAGTGTGTCAAAAACCATGGAAACCCCTTCTGTTCACATCAAAATAGCTGGGATTTATGGATGTGAATAACCCACTAAAAATGGTATTAATACGTATTGATCCGTAGCCATATCATATATCACCCATAAAGCCTAGTTCTTGTAGAAACTAAGCTAGCTGTCGACCAGAAAGCCCCGAAATCTGTAGAGTGAAGCGGTCAGTGAGACATTTCATACACCCCTTGAAAAGTAAGCTGTTTGTCTGAAAATGGGTACCCTCTGGTAATTTAACATAGCTATTGAAAATCACCATTTTTAATGGGAAAATCCACTATAAATGGTCATTTTCAATAGCTATGTAACAAATTACCAGAGGGTACATATTATGGATGGTTTATCATGAATCTCCCATTTAATGATATATAATTAATTATATAATGTTCCCATGAAACATATGAAACATAGGGTTAACCTATCAGAGTATCCAAAAATTCCATTTTTAATAGGGTACCTTTACTGTTTACCAACCAAAATGTTACCCTCCGGTAGACTTCGCTTCTTGCTGAGCTTCGAGGTCTTGCGATAGGTGCTTGCCCATGCCTCCACTGCGAGCCTTACAGACATGCGCAGGGGGAGACTGCCCTGGAACATGCTGTACCCTCTGGTAAACGTTTACATAACTATGGAAAATCACAATTTTTAATGGGACAATCCACTATAAATGGCCATGTTCAATAGCTATGTTAGTTTACCAGAGGGTAAAGTGTTTTTTCAATCGAGCAAACTTGAGCTCCCGAAGCGCAATGACGAGGGGCATGTTGCAAGCTAGATTCGCTTGCAGCGGTTTGGTGAAATTGTTAAAAAAGCAAGAAGTGAAAGGCAAATTACAGAAAATCCTCTTCTAATCAAACAGGTAATGAACAAAAACACAGAAAAAAACATGAAGAAAATCACATGGGTGGTGAAAATTTAGGACCTAGACCAGTGATTTTGATACCCATCTTCTAATGAGAGACCTCGGGGCTCAGATCAAGTCGGGTACAGTAATTCCGCAAGCCAGCGTCATGGACAGGGACAGTCATGGAATATACCAAGAAAACATAACTGGTTGGTAGTGCAATAACCATCTTGAAAAATATGAGTTCGTCAATGGGAAGGATGACATCCCATATATGAAATGGAAAATAAAATTCATGTTCCAAACCACCAACCAGATAAGAAAACGAGGTACTTTGAAGCGACAACAAAAAATACCATGGCTTGCTACAAGCAATTTCCACCTGAAGTTTCTGGCCATTCGGATCCATGTGGAGAACCGTCTCTTGATCTTCCCATTAAGAATGGTTTATGAAGGTTCATAGTTGGGGATGGGTCAAAACCCTGGTACCTAGTGAACCCCAAAATAGCTGGTAAATGGATGTTCATCCCACTAAAAATGTATCTATGGGTATTGACCCATACCCAGTTCATAGATCCATGGCACGCATGGGACTTTCCGCTTTGGGGGCCAACATGATCTAGAACTGACTTTTGAAGCCATGAAAAGCATTCAAAAGCCATACCGAAGTCCATCCAACATATGAGCATATTATAACTTATAAGCTTTAAAAATCAATCAGTCCATTAACTGATCACATAACTTCACTTGTTTTTGATGGTTGCTTTTGTTGCAGATATACCCTCTGGTAATTTGTTACATAGCTATTGAAAAACGTTTACCAGAGGGTATAGATAATAATTCTCCATTAAAACTACCCTCTGGTAATTTAACATACATAGCTATTGAAAATGACTATTTATGACCATTGAAATGGTGGATTTACATGGATTTACCCCATTTTTCTCGAAAAAAAATGGTCAAAATCCTCTCGTGGATCATCCTCGCCTGTAGAAGGGCCTGGCTTCCAGGTCCGTGGACCGGATGCCGCCCTCGGCCCAGGGATGTCGCCACGCGCCGCAGCGGAAGTTGATGTCCGGACAGCTGCAGCAATCGACGCCTCGGCGGACATGGAAAGGTGGGAACTGGGGTGTTTTTAGCCCTGAAAATCAGAGTTTTTTTACAGTCCAAGCGTGTTAAACCATGTTAAATCATGTTAAACCATGTTAAACCTATGAAAAATGAAGGTCATTACAGGCATTCTGGGCTGAAGTGGTCGAAGCCATGAACATTTCCTGGATCCCACCCGGCTGTTGCCGGGGTCCGGAAGAATGGCGGTCCAACTGTTTTCGCTACCGGCGCTGTTAGCGACCCATAGGAAAATGCCACTGGGGGTTTCGGGTGATTTGGGGGGTGCAATAAGGTTCAATAGCACTTGCACACATAGATGATGCTACGCTACTTAACGTCAACTTCATTTCAAATAAGTTGGTATGCTACTTGAAGTTCGCTTCATGTCACATACGTCATGCTACGCTACATCAAGTAAACTTCATGGAACATAGACGATGACACAGGAAATGATATGTTGCTGTGATAAAGTTGGATGCCTGTTTTTTTTTTCGAAAAAAATAGCCCGAAAACGAAAACCCAAAATTGAAAAAGGCTGGCCTTCCTGCAAATACCAACGAATGCCTTGAAATCTTGACTTCCACACAAAAATGCTCCGAAATGCAGGTTTTGAGATCTTGCCATTTTAAACAATATTCAAATTCCGGGTCTATTGGCACCGGTACCTTGTTTTCTTCCACAAAGCAGAACTAGTTGGTGGTCCCCGTGAAAATATATCATCATCCCATCTCTAAAACATCTTGAAAACTAGATTTGAAACCACCAAACGGAAAAAAAAAAAACTGACTGCGGCGCCAGGTTGCCCACTGCAAAATAGTCATAGCTTCCATATCCTCATCTGGCTGCGCCCACAAGAAACTTGAAGGATCTTGAAGGCATTCACGGTACAGTAATCACCGGGAATAACGTCAGTACATGGTCAATGATTTTTCGGTACATCCAAGGAGCTTGGCGCACCACCCACGTTTTGCAGCATGGTGCCATTGGTCACTATGGGAGCAATGCAGTAGGTGCGTCCAGCGTTCATGAAGCATCCAGCGTGTTCCTTGGATTTACTTTAGAAGCTTACAAGAAACCTCAAAAAGATAGAACATCAAAATAAACCAAAATAGTCGACCTTCACTTTTCTACCATTTTGGAGGGTTACTGAAAGGCACCCAATGTTGTTCCCTAAAATAATACAGCCCAGTGGGCTGGCTTCCCATTCTCAGTCTGCCAGACTTGGTCTATCCAACTGCAGATATGCCCAGATATGTCCGTCCAGATATGCCGAGTGATTTTTGCCAACTTGCCTATCCTCAATCACAAAAAAAACTCCCCACGTTTTTTCTTGGCAAAATTCAACCTTTTGTGGGTGAAATGCCAATGGAAACAGAAAAAACATATATATATATATACATATTTATTATTACTATTATTATTATCATTATTACTATTATTATTACTATTATTATTACTATTATTATTACTATTATTATTACTATTATTATTACTATTATTATTACTATTACTATTACTATTATTGTTACTATTATTATTACTATTATTGTTACTATTATTATTACTATCATTATTACTATTATTATTACTATTATTATTACTATTATTATTACTATTATTATTATCGTTATCGTTATTTGCCTAAAAGAAGGGACACCCACAATTTGATGGTGTACCAACCTATAATATACCTATATAACAAAATAAGCAGTTGTCAATTCACATTGAAGATGCTCAAGTCCCAAATTTTGTCGGATGAATATGGGAATATCATCAACCATGTGGGGCAATAACGAAGGATTTGTTATGGGCGGATAGTAATTGGTTGATGTCAAATAAACAATGGATGAATTTGATCGTGACACATGTCCTCACTGTTAGTCTCTGGAATGATTGTTTTTTGGGGAATCAATGGAAATCATTCCCAAATGGCCCAACTCTTCAGCTATTTTTACAATGTGGGGCCCCCGTTAGATAGCTAAGTTGGTGAACATAACTCCAATAACTATGGTTTATGGTACGCAAATAACTATAGTTAATGGGGTTTATAAACCAACAAACATCACTGGGGGGCCCCACATTGTATGTGAATTCTTAGAATTCAGCCAGGATGATACCGGGTTTTCACTGCCAAAATGGGTTAGAACTTTTGCTGTGGCCGCCAAGGGGCCGAATCAATGCCAGCCGTGGAGGCAAAATCCACCGCTCCAGCGTCTTGAATCTGAGCCCCTGGAACCACGGCCGGATCAATGCCGCGATAGGCCTGGACGGATGCTGCGCGTTGCCGCGTTGCGGATGCTCCACAGGGAACATCTTTGGGAAGTCAGGGAGGAAAACAGCAACGAAACTGGAGCTAAATAAACCATGGAAAATGGTGAAGAAACCAGCAAAAACCGTGAGACATCTCTCTGATACAAAGAAGTCTGGCAATTTAAAGTCCAGATGTTTGATGCAAATATCTGGAGGTGGATTTTCCATTGCCAATCCGGAGGTTGCTCTAGGATATGGATTCCACTAACAATGGGTCCTCGTCCGGTCATCCAACCTGTTTCTTTCTGCATGCAGCGATTCCTCTGCAAATGGGTGATCCCTGCATGGCTTCATGGTTTTGGAGGTGATATCCTTTTACAAAAAATGCGCGAAAAAAACAGATACAGGATGCGGCCCCAGTTCGTTAGCTAAGTTGGTTTATAACTATAACAAGTTGGTGTATGATATTTAGAACTATATTTAGATGGGGTTTTCTACACCAACAAACATAGCTGGGGGCCCCATCCTGTACGAGGATCATCCCACTTCTACCGTTGAAAATCAAAGATGGTGAACACCAGCTACAATGTGGGGCCCCAGTAAAAGATAGCTAAGTTGGTGAACATAACTCCAATAACTATGGTTTATGATACTTATAACTATAGTATTCATGGGGTTTATAAACCAACAAACATCACTGGGGGGCCCCACATTGTAGAAGTAAGTGGCCATCCAGTTGATTGACCCAGCACTGCCTCTCTAGACTACCGGGTAGAAGATGGAGGGAACCCTTGGAACAGTGGCGTCTGAACACACCATTGACACCAAGCAAGAAGCCATCTACTAAGTCCGCACAACATGGTTGAAGTATAGCAACCCCCGAAAAACATATAAAGTGAAATCCGGCAAATATCATGCAATGTGGGGCCTCTTAGTGATGTTTGTTGGTTTATAAACCCCATGAATACTATAGTTATAAGTACCATAAACCATAGTTATTGGAGTTATAAACCAACTTAGCTATCTTGGGGGGCCCCACATTGCGGTCAATATTGGCAAATGATTTTTCTTTTTTGGGTTACTGTGAACATCTGTGAACAGCCACTGGAAATAGTGCTGAAATCCCAATCCAATCCTTCCCAGGCAATAAAGATCCCTAGAAAACACCCCCCAAACTCAGGTTTCAACCCCAACCTAAGCCCACCCAGTGGAAAATGGGCGCCAGAATGGACGCCAGCAACCCATTTTCCACCCGCCTTCAGCAGAGAAATCTCTGAGTACTGCTGCCAGTAATTCTTCCAGAGATGATGTCCCATGAAGCCACCCATGGTGGACGCCAGCAGACAGAAGAGAAACTTCCAGCATGGAAACCTGAGAACTTCGGACCATCATTAAAAAAAGTCCGCCAAGAACCAAAGAAATAGGGCTGAAGGGATGATTTGGGGGTGAATTGAGATGTTTTTACCTGGAGACTCAGGGATAAATTGAACTTCTGGAATTTGATTCAACTTTGCTTTGCGAGATGTTCTATTCGCTCGGAGTTGTTTCGTATGCATTTTTTTGCTCATGATAGTTGGTTCTGAAACATTGGATGTACCCACCCTGCTTTCATCAAAGCGGCGCAGCCGGACAAGAACAGCCATACCCTTGATGGGTTCCCGGCGCCTGTTCTTCCGTAAATATCATCTGTATAAATAGGAGCCAACAAAATCATATATGACCACTATGTTCAAGTGATTTTTGAGGATTCACAGCGTGAAATGCTAACCAATCTGGGGACAAGTCGCGATATGGGTCAAGTGGTCCAGTTGACCCATATCCGATATCCCAGCAGTTGCAGGAGATTTCATTACCAGCTTTGCAAACAATCAGATTGCTAGATCTTGTGGAGAACCGGTTTTTATGGATGAAAATAGTGCCACCTTGCGGCAATCCCCTCCATCAAAAAAACGGAGCCAATCCACATGATTTCTGACCGCATCTCAGAGAAACGGCACAGCCTTCAGGTTCCTCTGGGACATATGATGTATATTGATGTATACTCATACTCCAAGCAGTGAGTTGCTTTTTCAAGCCCCCTTGTGATATAACTCTACTTAGATTCCTCAAACGCGGGGAATCACCTGCAGCAAAGCCTGGTTTGTCACTTTTACGGAGGGTTTTTCAATGGGATCAATGGGATCTATGTATAGGTTTGTATGTTACCCTCTGGTAAATTCACATAGACCCTGGCATTTTTCGGGCTTGGTTCAGATGAGTTTCCATTAAAAATAGGCTATGTTCAGGGTCCAACTGTTAATTTACCAGAGGGTAATGCTTACAGTAATCAAAAATCAAAGATACGCGTTGGCGCCACAGTTTGTTTTCTAAGTTGGTTAAAAAAAAGGTCGTTGCAGTCGAGTGTTTGCTGATGACAAAACGATCGTTAGATGGGAGGGACATAAACCAACAAACACAACCAGAGGACACCACCTCTGGTATGAAACAACCAATTGGACAATTCCCCCTAAAAATGCTAGGTTCAAATTTGGATTCGCTTATTTCTTTCAACATCCACAATCTATGGTAGTATAACCCAAGTAAGAATCCCCTGGCGAAATATACCAATTTGGGGATGATTCCCCTTATCCTAACTCACATCATTCCAGTGACATCGCGACACTAGGTCATTCTAATTCATCCAGGTTGATCCCAATCATGACAAATTGTTTATCCACTAAAGTCCATGGATGATATCCCATGATCAAACTCTGACTTTGGCTGAATTGTAGTAATTCACCAACCCAAAATCATCTAAAATCATCCACAATTATCTAAAGTCATCTAAAATCGTCTAAAATCACTCACCTAAAAGTCCATTAATACAAAAAACAATTCACTAACCTAAACAATTCCCATACCCAAATCCTCCTCCCATCGCCGTTTAAGCCCAAGGTCCAAGTCCAATAGACCACAGCGCGCTCGTGATGATTTTTGTGAATCTTTCCAACCAACACCTGGGAAATCGAAACAGACCACAAAATGGGGGGAGAATTGGCCACAAAAATTGATAGCCATAACCCAATCAACATGGATTGGAACATGTTTGCAAAAACAATGAGATGGATTTGGATATATACTGCGTTTCGGAAAGAAAAATTTACTGGTGCGTAGCAGGGAATGGATGGGACAGGGACTGGGGGTTGCTGGGATGATTATTACTAGTGATTATGGATCATTCCCTCATTCCCTGCTAAGCACATGTCATATTTTGCGGAGCCGGTTGAAGTTCTACCAGAACCGGGCGGCCAGTCTGGCATAGATTTGGATTGGTTACCCTCTGGTAAACGAACATTGCCGTGGAAAATCACCAGTTTCATAGGTGAATCAACAAATTCAATGGCCATTTTCAATAGCGAACTGCGTTTTTTTACCAGGGGGATCATCCCAGAAATTCTGGACCTTTGATGGATTTTTTTGGGAACATGTTTTTTTTCGACGACCCCGAAACAGGAAATATCAACAGCGGTTGTTCCATATTACATCATATTGAATGATTTTATATATATATATATAGAGCCACATTATTTTTTGTTCCATATCACTGGTTCACAACTCATTGAGAGTTTTTGCCCCTTGCTGTGGAGTGGGTGGACATGAGCAAAACGATGACACATGATGACATCGATCCGTCAAGAGACGCTCAGCAAGAGCACGCCCAGGACACACCTTGGATGTGTTGATTTTGGGCCCAAATATGTACAAACATATATAGATGACATGTCATTTACATATATATATATACATGCATTATGTTATGTCATGTTATGTTTTGTTTTGTTATAATATGCTCTGTTTTGTTGTATTAAATAATAGTGAGTAACATTATATTTTTTATGCTATGTTATGTTATAGTATGATAAAATTTTCATTTTATATCGGTTGTTAATAAAAATAAATAGTTTATAATATTTATATTATAGAAAATATTATATTATATTTTACTACATTATATCAAATTAAAGTATATTATGTTATATTATATTATATTATATTACATTATATAATGCTATATTAGTCATATTAAAATTATATTATACGATTTTAAAACATATTATCATATTATATTATATTATAGTTCATTAAAGTATGGTATATTATAGTATATTAAAATATGTTATATTAAATTATATATATATATATTACATATTGTGTAGTATATGATTTGATATTGTATAATATTAGATCAGCGTTTTTCCATGGAGACAAAATTATTCGGAAATACATGACAATTTCACCAACAACAAACAGGGTTTTAAATCGGCCAACGAGCAAAGAATATAGTTTCGACCAACACAGATGGGCACGTCACAAATGAAAACAAGACACTTCAATCTGAAGAGGATGTAAATCACCCCCAGAATGCAGAGGATCGACAGCACGCGCGGCAGCAAAAATGCCGCCATCGTCAAGATGAAGCATGTCACCTCGGGCTGAAACCGTGCAAAGCGCAAGAGTTTGGGGTGGTTCGACTGGGTTGGACTGTTGGCTGCTCCCTTTTAAAAACTTTTGGCTAGGAAGAACCTCAAACACTAACCCATCAAACTATGAGAAACCAAACGTTTCATGAATTTTAGTTATGATAAGAAAAATCATCATCACTATAATAATAACTATTATGACAACATTTTAGTGTGTAATATATAATCATAACCATAATAATAACTATAAGTGACATCATTTTAGTTTATAATAATAATAATAACAACTATAATTGACTATAATGATACTAATAATTTTAGGCTATTCATCATTTTCCTGTGCGAAAGCCATTGGTTTTCCAAGGGGCCCCCTTGGTCCCGGCCAGGTCAAGTCCTGTCGCATCCAAGTTGCCACCGGCCAGGTGAAATCCAGGGACCTCCGCAAGTTACCTCCATGCCTCAGTGGGCCGCTAACTCTATCATATCAATCATATATATATAATATGTATATATATATATACATATGTGTGTCATATGTGTTTACATATATATATATATATATCATATGTATATTATATATATATCATGTTTATATATATATATATGATATGTATAAAGTGTGCGTATATGTATGTATACATACATATTAATTAGTAAACAACCATGTAGATGATGATGACGTGGGATAGTCCTGAAGTAGACACAATATGTGATAGTCTTGTTGATTGAAAACGGAAGTTCCCATGATGGTTTATGATAGTACCCTCTGACTCTATATTGAATAGTATAACCCCATATAATCACCAATTAATGGCTTGGTTCAAACACTGATCACACAGAAAAAATTGGGAATGTAGAAAACCCCAAAAAGATATAAAAAGTGTAGAATTTACCACTGTCTTAGTAGAATTTTACGATCAACACTATCGTGTTTAAGGTGATGCTAAATATTTTTTCTATGGAAACAAATGGGGATCGGTTGGGGTGTCAACTCTCGGATGTCTCGACAAGTGCATGTCCATGTATGGGCTATTCATGTTAGTATTCATATAATACTGATAATAATATGTATGGGGTAATTCACGAATAATTCAAATTCATGTTTTTATTGAACCCATCATATTTATGGGGTATTTTTATGGGGGTTCAATAAAAAAATATGATGAGTGCCAATACACAGGGGATGGGCCCTGGTTCGTTGTCACAATGGCCCTGTTGATGGGGCTTACCCCGACATATCCATATCAAGATAGGCGTGCATGTGTTCATATCTAGGACAAACCCACTTAAGAATGCCGCTGCAAGGGGGAGTATTATGATCCAAATAAAGGGTCGTCTCAAATCAGCATCATGTATCAATGCGTTTTTTTTCTATGTATAAGTCTGCATAAGTATATTAATTATAACATGTTCCATAGATATTTACCTGCATGTGCGTAAGTCTGCGTACATACATGTCTGCATGTATATGTGTATATACTAGCCCAAGCGCCCCTATCCCAGTGATATAGAAATCCCATATCTCTTGGACAGGTCGAAACTCTCAGAGCTTATCAATTGCATTTGGGGAAGATCTACAAGATTATACAATACAAATGCTACAAAAAGGGACGGAACGACTTTGTGAGTTTCAATCGAGATCATCATAGGTGACCATGAACATCATGGTCACCATCTCCAAATAGGCTGCTGTGCCCAACAAAAAAAGTGAACTGGTTGGTGGTTTTTCGCTACCCCTCTGAAAAATGATGGAGTGAAAGTCAGTTGGGATGATAAAATTCCCAATATATTGGGGAAAATATTGCAGCCATGTTCCAGACACCACCAACCAGTTATTAAAAGTGAAAGATGTTTTTCCCAGCGTTTTTCCAAAGGCATCCCTGCGAGGCCCAGCTGCTCAAAGCCAGGCCTTTGTGGCTTGCTCTGAATCAGGCCTTTGAAACCTCGACAAGAAAAACTGGTCACATTGGAACAACAAAGTTGATGAAAGAAGTGCTCCATCTTTGAATGGAAATAGGTCTTTGAATGAGTATCATGGAATAGTTATTCAATGGGAATATGTCATGGGTGTATTCTATTTTTCAATGCTACTTTCACATACTTTCACACCATTGGAAAGCACATTGAAATATGCCCCTCTTAACTTCTCAAGCTCGAAAAATCCATGAAGATTACAGACATGACCTGAGGATCCCTGCTGTGATTGTAGGAGGCCAGATATCGGGCCTCGTCTCCTTCCATGTTTCCTTCTTTCAGGACCATGGTTCGCGGTCCGCTTCGTTCCTGAGCTTCCAAGATGAGGCCCTCGAACTCTAGGAAAAAACCGGAGATCATCAAGATGATCAAGGATGTTTTTTTCTTTTTCCTGGTCCATGTGGTTTTTCCTTGAGTTTTTTGGCCAGTTCAAGCCCTAAGACTTGGTAGCTTCAGCCAAGCCTATGGTACCAATATCAGATCACCAGGTCACCGGGGTGGTGCGATTCCGCGGCTGTTGATCATTGGGGTACCATAGCTATAATCTACCCGGACCCGGCCTGGTACCCTCTGGTAAACTAACATAGCTATTGAAAATGGCCATTTATAGTGGATTTTCATGGATTTTCCCATTAAAAATGGTGATTTTCCATAGCTATGTTAAATTACCAGAGGGTAATGACTGTTACAGTTCGCGACATAGAAAATGGCCCAGTCGAAATAGTGGATTTACCCATTGATAGCATGGTGGATCGTTCCACTTCGCAAACTGTAAACGTTTACCAGAGGCTACCAGCAAGCCATTCATTGCCGGGGGTACTAATCTAGAAAAACGATGCAAAACTCTGACTAGACTTGGGTCGGACCAGGTCGGACCAGTGACTGGCCATTGCCATGGCCATGATATCCTAAAAAGAGATTTTCATCCCATCCTATGGTGGTGTTTTCGAGTTCCCCTATGGCTTATCACGATCCCGAAGATGAATAAATGAGCTACTCATTTATCCCAAGAAATCAACCAATCAACCAGGCAATTGTCAATCATGTTTAATGGCTCAAATGTGTTACCTGGATGTTGTGGATGATCTTTGCCTCATGGTCTTCGGATTTCCAACGGGTCAACATTAGGGATGAGTCTCAATCACAGCAACTCCTTAGCACTCCGTTTTTGGTCAAATCCTCATACTTGTGCTGCTTATTTCAGAAGCTCCATTTTTATACGGTATACCCCGATACTGGTTCTATATTCTATACCCCAATATATAGCAGCATAGATAAACATAGATATGGAATCTACTGCAATGTGTTAGAGCATGGGCAAAATAACCTCTTCATCGTCCAAAAAACCATTTTACCAACAACCATTTTTGATAAACGTCTCCAGTTCATGTTTAACTTGAATTAGATAGCCATTTCATTCTCCAATAATGTCAACCCGGGATTAATAAACCCCTAGCTTTCTAATTGGGGTACAGGGGCGGTACCATTTATAAGGGGAAATAAATAATATGTGGGAATCCCCCATATCAATCGAGGGTTCAAGGCTCCACAACCGGGCACGCCGCCCGGCTGCACTTCGGAGGATGCGCCACAAAGCGCGCCGTTCCCGGCAGGGAACTGAGCCGAGAGGTGGAGAAAGACGGTGACGGCATTATACCCCGGGTACCAATGGTTTATCATGTTTTATCACGGTTTGATTTTGGTTTTATCATGGTTTTATCATGGTTTATCATCATCTTCCCCCGGGCGTATACCCAAATCTGAAGATACACCCAGACCCAGGAGACCAGTTCGAAAATCGTTCGCAAAAAGCTCAGTGGACTCCAGGTGTAGCCACAATGTACTCAGGTTGTACAAGCCTCCAAAATGGATGGTTTAGTATGCTTGAATACTACTTGAATACCAAAAACAGCACAAATTCTGTGAGTCCGTAGCCCAAGAGGTGCCACCTTGTCCCAACTCAACCGATTGTTTCGCCAAGAAAGTTAGGCCAGGAGATGCTTCAATTTACCGCAACAAATCCTGCACCATGGACTCAGAAGCCACTAGTGGTTCAATTTTCGAATGGGGACTGGGATCTGAATGCAAAAAGATTCCAAATCTTGCGGAAATGTTCCCATGTCCCGGCTGGGAACATCAATCTATCTGAATCTATCTGGGTAAAGGCCATCATATTTCACTCACCTGAATTGTTGGGCCATTTGGGGATGATTTCCCTATGAAAACTGCATGATTCCAGGCTTCGGTCGCGACGCGCGCGGATCTTTTTCTGGCAAATCACGGCATCACGGCGCCATCGCCAAGCCTGGCGGCCCATCATGGCACCACTAGGCCACGAAGATAGCTGTTGTAGCTAGATTCGTTCATCCCCACAAAGATGCTATAAAGGATGGGGCCCCAGTGAGGTAAATCGCGTTCAGTTGGTGCAAATAGCTATGTGAAATAACAAGTTGGTGTATGATACGCAAGTAGCTAGATTTAGATGGGGTTATAAACCAACTAACATTTCACTGGGGGGGACTATCCTGTAGGTTTTGTCAACATCGACGATTCGAAAAATAGCTGAGTCAGCCATGAAACCAATCATTCAACAAGCCTTGGGCCTTGCCCAAACGATATCTGGTTGGTGGTTGAGCCACGCCTCTGAAAAATATATAAAAGTCACTTGGGAATACTTGGGATGATTATTCCCAACTGAATGGAAAGTCATAAAAGCCATGTTCCAGTCACCACCAAGCAGATTGGATCTCTGAAAATGGTACCCTCCAGTGTCATCAAACCTGTTTTAATGGGAAAATCAACCGAACATGCTGGATTTTTCATTGCCATGAGTACCGGAGGGTCAACTCACACAAACATGAAAAAAATCTGCCTAGCCAGGTCCATATCCCCATATCCGACCCCAAAGAAATCCAATTTGACCCAAAGCACTGATGGCTTTTGCCCCATGTTTTGCTGAACATCTCCATCTTGGGGTCATGTTTTCACCAAAAACTGGTTGATGGTTGGCCAACCCCTCTGAAAAATGATGGAGTTCGTCAGATGGGATGATGACATTCCCAACTGAATGGGAAAATAAAAGCCATGTTCCAAACCACCAACCAGATATCAACTATAATCAACTTCTCCATCTTGGGGTGATGTTTTCCCCAATATGCCCCAATATGTTCTTTTTTTTGGTGCAGTTTTTCCCAAAAAAAATCCCCCCCCGTTCCCGCAGCCTCAGGCAGGTAGCTCCACACCATCCACAACGTCAGGCCACCCTGAGAAGGCCTTGGGTTTTTTCGCTGGGGGATGTTGCGCCAGCCCAACTCGCGGTGCTAAGGCCGTGGAAAAATTCATCACTCCTGCAACTAGTTGGTTACCCTCTGGTTATGTCAAATAGCTATTGAAAATGGCCATTTAGAGTGGATTTTCCCATTAAAAATGGTGATTTTCCATAGTTATGTTAGTTTACCAGAGGGTATATACTTCTATAATCACTCAAATCTCTTAAATGCGGTTATAGAAACAACTTATAAGCCAGCTATAACTGTTAAGGGAGTATATGGGAATATTAAAATTAGATGAGTTGTGGAGTTGCACCAACACTTCTGCTTCAGCGTCGATAAGACACCAACGATTCAATGAGAAATTTTAGGGTTGAAACCCAGGGTTTTACCAATTCTGGGACCTGTCCCATGATTTTCTTAGAATCTTCCTTGACATTGGCTGTCGCCCAAACACAACTTCAACTGCCTGGTGGTTTCAACCGATCTGGAAAATAGATGGAAATAGTGGATAATAGTGGATAGTATACTGTGGATAGTATACTGTGGATAGTTTACTGTGGATAGTATGCTTAGATAAACTGAGATATCCCCTTTCAAACTCATCATCAACTAACAAACGTGTCGAACGCAGCCGCTGGTCAAGTATTACTTTAAATTGTCCATTATATTCCACTATATTCCATTGTATTGCCATATTCTGTATCATAGTCATATTGTTGGTTGTATGACCAATCATATCCCATTAGATATTCCATATATTCCAACCATAGATATATCCCATAGATATATCCCATAGATATATCCCATAGATATTGCCATATTCTGTATCATTAGTGCAATATTGTGGTTTATATGTCCATTCTATTCCATCATTTGTCCAGCCACTTCTAAAACCTTCAGGATCCCTCGGTAAAATCCAAAATATCTCAGGTCAAACAGCTATATATGGTAAACCGACGACATTGTGTTGTGGGTATGGGTCAAAATTGGGTACCCCTAGAAATGAATGTCAAATCTTTAAGTTTCCTAAAATCTCTGGTCCTAGGAGTCCTGGAGTCTGAAATTTCGACCCATCCAAAAAATGACGCAAGTCTTTTCCCATTGAGGTGTCCGAAAAATTATGTTGGATCCCCAAGTCGTCACCATGCTGAAACCGGAAAAGTCATGGTCATCCAGGACTCGCTTTCTGAGGATGGAACCCGACACCAACCCCAGGTTTTACCTTGCCGGCGGCCGAGGTGAGTTCCCCAAGGGGGAAAAAAGAAAAACACGAAGAGGTCAACATGTGAAACACAGCTGTGGGAACAAAGTTCCGTGGTTTCTGGCAAGTCTATGGTGAGTAAAACCACCAACTTGGGCAAATCGCATTGTAGGTGCTAGTTCCCCTTGTAACTGGGACTGCGATAGCAGCTCTGAAATGGTCCTTTAAAAATATACACGGTCTGTCGCTTGGGTATATAGCAACCCGCAAAAAGATAAGATTTTACAATATATGGATGGAGACCGTTTGTTATCTTTTTTGGGGTTACCCTCTTGAATGGTTCCAGCGTAGTTGAAATCAAGACCTACTGTGAGAATCCCTACGCCTGAATGGCAATCGAATGCACCACGCGTGACACCCCCATGTCCGGCGCAAAATTGGTGGTGTCACGCAAAGGCATGGTGGCGCCTTTGGTACCTTTGGAAACCCACCTGAATCGAATGTTCACAGCCACTTTTACGGATTTCCCCAATGTCAGAACCATCGAACATCGGAAAATCTCGTCATATCTCGTCCACTGGCAACCCAAAAAACTGTGCTTCGATGAGATCCAGTTTGATCCAACTCTCGAAGATGTCGAAGATCCCAGATTTGACCAGGGCCAGTGCCTGCTTGTTCTACTTGCGCTGGTTCAATGTAGCACCACTTCCTGTCAGAAAGGCTTGGTTTCAAGCCTCTAAAAACCCGGGAACCTCAGATTGACTAGTCATGGGATTTGGTGCAGTCCTTTGCCAGTCCCCAATCTGGGCAAATAATCAAGATTCCATGCCCAAACGGTTCCGGCTCAAAAGTTTGAGACATGACACGCTTAAATGGACTGGTCTCATTCTTTGGGTTCCAAACCCACGCTTGTGCTAGTCTAGTTATAGCTTCAGCATGCTTCAGCAATATCTCAGCACCTTAAGTAAGGCCCGCGGTAAGACCCCCGTTCCCATGAGTTTCCGAGCTTCCCAAGACCTTCCCATACGATCAGGCTTTCTTCTGGAAGTGGGACCATGGAAATCTGGACCATCTGGACCCCATCATTTGGAGTCCCCCAAACAAGCCACATCCATATCGAACATTCTTGAACCATCTATCTGGGTAAATTATAATATTTCACTAACCTCAATTGTTGGGCCATTTGGGGATGATTCCCCTCATTAACCATGATTCCGGGTTCGGTCGCAGTGAGGTCGTTATAATTTACCGAGATCTATGACTGTTTATCAGCCCTACTATGTGGGAAACTCAATTCGTACTGGAGCTCCTTGGCTGCCTTGGCTCTCCATTTCCGAATGTAGATGCAACCATAACATACAATGTGGGCCCCCCCAGTGATGTTTGTTGGTTTAAAAACCCCATGAATACTATAGTTATAAGTACCATAAACCATAGTTATTGGAATTATTGGCACCAACTTAGCTATCTAACGGGGGCCCCACATTGTACCAGAGCTTCATTCACAGCCCTCCGTTCACAGATAGCCTAACCGGCTTCTCCGTGCCTTCCAATGTTCGTGCCATCAGGTGTTGGCAAATCAGTACAGCCTGCGAAGGCCTGCCAAGGAAACCACCCGGAGTCTGTCACAGGTCATCAAACATTGGGGAATCCCTACAATGTGGGGCCCCCAAGACAGCTAAGTTGGTTTATAACTCCAATAACTATGGTTTATGGTACTTATAACTATAGTTAATGAGGTTTATAAACCAACTTCTAACTGGTGGGCCCCACATTGTAGGTCGTAGAGGAAATTCCCGAGAGGATCCCCAATATATAAAGCTCGTTCACCCCTTTGATCCCCATAGATACACCCACGCTACGAGTCTAGATTTCTGGGACATCAAGCCAATCGAAGCGACCAGTGCCATTAAGTCCCACTCATACATGCTATGGGTACTATGGGTCATCTTACCCACTTAATAGTCATCCCATGGAAAAACAAGTTCTTACAATGTGGGGCCCCCCAGTTACAAGTTGGTTTATAACCCCCATTAACTACAGTTATAAGTACCATAAACCATAGTTATTGGAGTTATTGGCACCAACTTAGCTATCTAACGGGGGCCCCACATTGTACTGTTCCTTTTCTTGGACCCCGACCGGAAATTTCGACCCATCCCCGACCTGCTCGTCTTTCACACCTGCTGCAGCACAGAGAAATCCATCCTGCGTTCGCGCCTCAAGAGGTGATCAGAACAGTGATCCTCCTGTTTTTGACACTAAAAAAACCCACCAGTCAGTTGGTATATGGGGGTCACAAAAACCCAGTTCTTATATATATATATACCCAAAAGTTATAGGTAAAAACCTGGCTGTTTTTCAAGCCGAATCTGATCAATTTGAGAATGGATCATGATCCGGTCAAACTTCGGGATTTCCAATTCTTCGCATTGTTGACCAATACTTCGGTGTTAGTGTTGTTTGTTGGTTCATGACCCTGTCTAACTATAGTTATAGTCACCATAAGCCTAGTTTTATGGATGTTTTCTTAAGTCATGAAAACATCCCCAAGTCACCATGGTTGTTTCAATACTCAGTCATGGTCTAATGACTTGGATGATGCAAAGGGGTACCCCGATTTACGAAATCTCCATACTAGTTATAAACCACCCTAGCTGACTATGGGGTTCCTACATGAAAATTGTGCTCTTCATAGATCACTCTACTAGGCGTGGTGTAGGCGTGCCCAGCGTTCAGAGACCCTCAAGATTTTGCGCCAGAGGTGTTTTACACAATGAACTATTGATAACATACCGGGTACTTCTAGTTAAAGCGCAAAATTCAGAAATATCAGAAGAAAAAAAAGTGTCAAGTTTAATTTATGCAGAACATTCGTGTCACACCATTTCTATCGTTCCTGTAGCTGTAAATTATATGGCGGATCCTTGAAGTTTGAATTCCACGCCACAAAGACCGGGGCCCATCCGGGCAACACCAACATTGCCTCCGAACACCCTTTGCCGCCAACAATCAGCAAGTTGAAAGCAACCCTTCGGAAGAGTAAAAATGGCAGTTTCAGTGAGAAGCCACGGATTTTCATGACATTGATATTTTGTGTAGGTAAACATCATTTGACAGATTTTCCATGATTATGTTGCTGGACTCACATTCACGAAGCTGCTTCACCCGTCCAAGGACAAACCGAGCCACGTGTTTGGTTCGAAACTTCGCCAGGTTGTTGAGCCTCAGCCGGGCCGATTTCACCGAATGGCAAAACCCAAGCTGGGACGAAGGTTCAGCTGCTTTTCATAGGAAGTACCAAGGTTAAAAAACAGGATGGGGCCCCAGTTCGTTAGCTAAGTTGGTTTATAACTATAATAACAACAGTGTATGATACTTATAACTTATAACATCTTATAACTATATTTAGATGGTGTTATAAACCAACTAATATTTCACTGGGGGCCCCACCCTGTAGTAATGTGTCAGTATTTTGTTGCTCTCCCAATTCATAGTGAGGATTTATTCATCCAAGGTTGACATTAGTCTGCAAAAAATCTTGCGCTGGTGTATGACACCAAAATCTTGGCCCTACACAGCTGAAAACACATCGAACACGCCATGGCTATAATGCCCAACGTTCCTTGCGGCGCAAACAGCCTTTTTTTTGGAAAAGTTGATGACATGTTTAACCACCCTTCACCTGGTGGTTTACCCATGTTTACATGTTTACCCGTCATTTCTATTCATTTATATCACTTAGACTTGGTGCAAAAAAGTCAAAAAAACGATTGGTGAAGTGGACCCCTCGCGCAGTTCGCCCGACGGGAAATCCCCAGGCATACCCTCGGGTAAACTGACATAGCGAAAAATGGCCCATTCATGGATGAATTACCTATAGATAGGATAGGATAGGATAGGATAGGTAGATAGATTAGATATATAAATTAGATAGATATACATATATATATAGTATGGTGTTGTTCATTGATTTTCCACATCTATGGTTCGTTTGCCCCACGCCCTCAACCGCTCCGTCGGGCGTCCACACGGACTGTCCAGGGGCTGGGGCGGCTCTTTGTCCGCCTTGTCAGTCAGATCTTCCTGGACGGAGAATGACCTCTATCCATATGTATTAAAAGATATATGTATATATATATATATATATTATGTATACATATATATATATACATACATATGTGTATATATATATGCATATATATATATATATTATGTATATATATATATATATGATAGAGAAATATGTATATATATATATTTAAATATAGTGACTGTATCTATCTATAATATGGATATATTTGATAGATATTGTATCCTTTCCATAGGGACTGTATTGATATTACACTTATAGTGATACTGTGGATGGAAGAAACATGAAGGTTTCTTGCACCACCTTGGATGGTTGAAACCCTATAAATAGTGGGATAAACCATCTATCAACTGGTGCAGGATTTCTTCCATCCACAGTAGTTGTGATATTTGAATCAATTATCTATGATTGTATTATTGTTATAGCGACTATTCAATTGATAATTGACAATTGCATATATATATATAACTATATAGTGAATATTACTGTTATTAATGATAATAATTACTCGTATTCCATCATTATTACAACCTCTATTACTATTATGACTATTATAACTGATGTTATAATTAAGGATCATCAACGTTGTTATTATTATCATTGAAGAAGCGTAATTTCAGTCGTGTTGTTATGATTAATGATTCTTAATATGATTGAAGAATAGTGATGTCATTGGTGTTGTTATAATGCATGATTATTGACTATTGATATGATTAAAGAATAGTAGTGATATCATTCTTGTTATTATGATTGTCATCGTCGATGAAAAAGATTATTTAGTAATCAATTTTGAGTAGCAGTTATTCGATAGAGAAGCTTAATAGAAATATGAGTACTATCCACTACTAATCAGTGGTTGTTGCTATTACAATTACATGTTAGTTAATAGTAGTGATTGATATTGGAAACATGGAATTGTGCACAGAATACACCGAAACTTGCTGGCAGTTATTATTTTTAGTAGTACTAGTTGTGGTATTACTATGTTTTCATTAGTACCATTCCCACTATTCTCATTATATTGGCAGGGGATACACCAAAATTTCATGGTTAATCATCCATTGAATAAACAACTGGCAACTTGAAAATATATACCAGTATACAGACATATACAGACCCATATATATATATATGCCATGTATTCCACATCGTTGGTTGTATATATATATATGGGCAAATTATAATATTTCACTAACCTGAATAGTTGGGCCATTTTGGGATGATTCCCCTTACTAACTATGATTATAGTGAGGGAGAACAGTGAGGTCGTTATAATTTACCCAGATATATATATATATATATATCCTTATGAAATATCCTCATGAAAATTCCTATGAATATATGCTATGAATATATATCCTATGAAATATCCTTATTCATCCTTAAGGATAATTAATATATATATATATCCTTATGAAATATCCCCATATATCTGGACGAAATATTGGTCCAATGATCAGCCATAAAGCCATAAAGGGTGAAAGAGACCACCAATGTGTTGGTACAATGTGGGGCCCAGTGATGTTAGAACGTTGGTTTAACAAAAACCCCATAGAAATACTAGTTCGTTATTTAAGCGTACCATAAACCATAGTTATTGGAGTTATGTTCACCAACTTAGCTATCTATCTTGGGGGCCCCAGATTCTATAAAACTCCGATCAAAGTGAAGAAAAAGTTCCACCGAACTGCCTCGTCAAAGCTCGTTGTCAAGAACGATGCCGCCGCTTTCGGTCGGAGCTTCGGCATCGGCCGTGACCCACCTGCGGAAAAAAACCACGGTGGTGTGAAAGGGACTTTGGGACTTTCCACAACAGTTTACCATGGAAAAACTGGGATTTCACCAAAATGGAGATACCATAGGAAAACCATGGGAAAACTATAGGAAAACCCATAGTAAACTGACTCGAAATAGTTGATTTTCCCATGAATAGCATGGTGGATCTTTCCATAGTTATGTAAACGAAAAAACCAGAGGGTAAAATCGCCACGAAAGTGGTGGATTCAGGACTCAACAGGCTCAGATTGCAGACTGGACCTACTGTGAGTGAAGCGAATGAATCGTGGAGTGAAACATGGCTTGACACGCTACAACCTCATCTGGTTGGTGGTGTACCTACCCCTCTGAACAATGATGGAGTGAGTAGCAGTTGGGATGATGACATTCCCAACTGAATGGAAAAATAATCCAAATGTTCCAAACCACCAACCAGATAATATATGGGTATTACAACCAACAATAGGATGATAATATGATGGTAATATGATGTCAATATGATGACAATACTTCAGGAGGAACAAAGTTTATGCTTCTTGAAAGCTTTACAAAACATCCATTTCGGTCAACCGCGGATCACATTTTCAAGTCCGTTTTGTGTGGCAGGTGTGGGACGGTCAATTATCACCCTCTTTTAAATATATAAGATTTTAAAGCTTTTGGAGGGTGGAAATGCGACCGGGGTACGACAAAGCTCCATGCTAGGATTCTACGGGGAAAGGGTGTGCAGAAGAAGAAGCCAAACATGTTCACTGTGGGAAGCTCAACAAGCGCAACTTTTGTCCTTCCAGTGCGTCACGGCACATGTGTAGCAGTGCAGACAAAGAGGATGGAGACAGACATGTTATGTGGAGTAATGTCCAAGCTGAAGCAGGTGCAAAAATCAGCACATGACGTGGCAATTCCCACTAAATAAGCTTTTCGTACCCTTCAGGAGGAACAAAGTTTATGCTTCTTGAAAGCTTTACAAGACATCCATGTCGGTCAACCGCGGATCGCATTTTCAAGTCCGTTTTGTGTGGCAGGTGTGGGACGGTCAATTATCACCCTCTTTTTAATATATAAGATTTTAAAGCTTTTGGAGGGTGGAAATGCGACCGGGGTACGACAAAGCTCCATGCTAGGATTCTACGGGGAAAGGGTGTGCAGAAGAAGAAACCAACCATGTTCACTGTGGGAAGCTCAACAAGCGCAACTTTTGTCCTACCAGTGCGTGACGGCACATGTGTAGCAGTGCAGACAAAGAGGATGGAGACAGACATGTTATGTGGAGTAATGACCAAGCTGAAGCAGGTGCAAAAATCAGCAAATGACTTGGCAATTCCCACTAAATAAGCTTTTTGTACCCTTCAGGAGGAACAAAGTTTATGCTTCTTGAAAGCTTTACAAAACACCCATTTCGGTCAACCGCGGATCACATTTTCAAGTCCGTTTTGTGTGGCAGGTGTGGGACGGTCAATTATCACCCTCTTTTAAATATATAAGATTTTAAAGCTTTTGGAGGGTGGGAATGCGACCGGGGTACGACAAAGCTCCATGCTAGGATTCTACGGGGAAAGGGTGTGCAGAAGAAGAAACCAACCATGTTCACTGTGGGAAGCTCAACAAGCGCAACTTTTGTCCTACCAGTGCGTCACGGCACATGTGTAGCAGTGCAGACAAAGAGGATGGAGACAGGCATGTTATGTGGAGTAATGACCAAGCTGAAGCAGGTGCAAAAATCAGCAAATGACTTGGCAATCCCCACTCAATAAGCTTTTTGTACCCTGCGTCACGGCACATGTGTAGCAGTGCAGACAAAGAGGATGGAGACAGGCATGTTATGAGGAGTAATGACCAAGCTGAAGCAGGTGCAAAAATCAGCAAATGACTTGGCAATCCCCACTCAATAAGCTTTTTGTACCCTTCAGGAGGAACAAAGTTTATGCTTCTTGAAAGCTTTACAAAACATCCATTTCGGTCAACCGCGGATCACATTTTCAAGTCCGTTTTGTGTGGCAGGTGTGGGACGGTCAATTATCACCCTCTTTTTAATATATAAGATTTTAAAGCTTTTGGAGGGTGGGAATGCGACCGGGGTACGACAAAGCTCCATGCTAGGATTCTACGGGGAAAGGGTGTGCAGAAGAAGAAACCAACCATGTTCACTGTGGGAAGCTCAACAAGCGCAACTTTTGTCCTACCAGTGTATATATACTGTGTATATAATTTATACCCTGTATCAACCAAATCACTGAAAAAAACTGGTCGAGGTATCAAAACCCGGTTTTGAACTAGTTTTTGCCAAAAAAAAAGTTTTGGTCAACAAAACCAGGTTTTTGATGAAGCAGCTTCGCCACAACCCGGTAAAAACTCATCAAAACCCATAACCCGTAAAAAACCGTAGTCCAAAACGAACCAAAAGCCTTGTTTGCCAGGGCCACCAAACCTTGTTTTTTGTAGGGTTAGAATGCCTCCGCAGCATATGCCCCCAAAACTTCTGAATTCTATATAGATTTTAAATAAATAAATGAAATCTTGGTCCCCAATTACGGTTGAGATAGGTACTTACCACAGTTTGATATCATCATCATATATCCTACATCAACCAAATCCCTGAAAAAAGCGGGTCGAGGTATCAAAACCTGGTTTTGAGCTAGTTTCTGCGAAAAAAACAGGTTTTAGTCAACAAAACCAGGTTTTTGATGAAGCAGCTTCGTCACAACCGGTAGAAAATGGTCAGAATGCCCGTCGGGGATTTTCCCACCGTATTCCCCACGATAATGTAAATGCTGATAACAGGATGGTAACCTCCAAAAAAGGCATTATACACAAACGATATTGCATTTTTCATCATTTTTCTAATACTCTGTCATTTTTTGTTGATCATGTTTGTTTTTGCTGATCATGAGCGTGTTTTTTGGGCGAATACCTGCATATTCTACTTATTTATAATACGATATTACATGTTTTCCTCATAATAGAACAGTGTTTATTGTTCATGGAAAAAATGTTTGCAATTTACATGCATGTTCTGCATATTTGCAGTACATGGAAGACACGGGACGGTCGAAAATGCGCCAAGAATTTTGGAGTTTTAGGGGTCTCAGGACTAAATAAATAGGGTTAGAATGCCCGTCGGGGATTTTCCCACGATACCCCACGATAATTACATATTGATTATAAACGAGACGGTAACCTCCGAAAATGGCATTATACACACATATACATGCGCTGTATATATTACATATAATATGTAGATGTGAATAAACGAGGTGTCTTGGATCGGCGGATGACGATATTGCATTTTTTCTGCATATTCTGTCAATTTTAGTGATCATGTAGTTTTTTGCTGTTCATGAGCATGTTTTTTTGGCGAATACCTGCATATTCTACATATTTAAAAAACGATATGGCATTTTTCTGCATATTATGCCATTGTTTATTGTTCATGCAAAGCTTTGTTTGCAGCATATTTGCAGTACATGGAAAAGACGGGACGGTCGAAAATGCGCCAAACATTTTGGAGTTTTAAGGGTTTCAGGACTAAACAAATAGAGTTAGAATGCCGTGCCGGATTTTTTAAGATTTTTAAGGGATTTCAGGACTAAATAAATAGAGTTAGAATGCCGTGCCGGATTTTTTAAGATTTTTAAGGGATTTCAGGACTAAATAAATAGGGTTAGAATGCCCGTCCGGAATTTTCCCACGATATTCTCCACGATAATGAAATGCTGATTAAACAGGATGGTAACCTCCAAAAACGGTTATATATATATACATACATACATACATACATGCATACATACATACATACATATATATATATATATGCTCTGTATATAGTGCATATATGCACATTTACAATCATGTACATACATTTGAGATGTGAGTAAACGAGGTGTTCTTGGATCGGCAGATGACGATATTGCATTTTTTCTGCATATTCTGTCAATTTTAGTGGTCATTTACTTTTTTGCTGATCTTGAGCATGTTTTTTGGCGAATACTTGCATATTCTACATATTTATAATACGATATTGAATTTGCCTGCATATTTCGACATTGTTTTATTGTTCATGGAAAGATTTGTTTGAAATTTACATGCATATTCTGCATATTTCCAGTACCATATACATGGAAGACACGGGACGGTCGAAAAATGCATCAAACTTTTTGGATTTAGGGGTTTCAGGACTAAATAAATAGAGTTAGAATGCCGTCCCGGATTTTTTCTGGGGTTTCAGGACTATATAAATAGGATGGTAACCTCCAAAAACGGCATTATACACACACATATATATATATAAAGACAGCACTCCTTCTTTTTCCGAAACCAGCAAGACCCAATTTGTCAATCAAATTAGAAAATCACACAACAATTTCAGACTTCCTGGAGAGAGGGGCCCCGACAGCTTGAAACCTTTGCCAAACCAAAGGAGCCAGCCTGCCCCCCATACCTCCTGCATCCTTTGCCAAACCAAAGTAGCAGGCTCCGGTATTTTTTGGAGTTTCACAAAAATAACTCCGCTCTCCCAGTCCCCTCTAGGACTGATCCCTTCAAAACATAATTAAAAAAACAGCAGGAATTCGGGTCCTCTCCCATGGTTCAAAAGGGAGGGGGGTTGCGGGCCTTTAAGCCAAATGCTATATCAGAAAATACAGGTGTGTGTCTTTAAACCCGGGTCGGATTACCAAAGACAGCACTCCTTCTTTTTCCGAAACCAGCAAGACCCAATTTGTCAATCAAATTAGAAAATCACACAACAATTTCAGACTTCCTGGAGAGAGGGGCCCCGACAGCCTGAAACCTTTGCCAAACCAAAGGAGCCAGCCTGCCCCCCATACCTCCTGCATCCTTTGCCAAACCAAAGTAGCAGGCTCCGGTATTTTTTGGAGTTTCACAAAAATAACTCCGCTCTCCCAGTCCCCTCTAGGACTGATCCCTTCAAAACATAATTAAAAAAAAACAGCAGGAATTCGGGTCCTCTCCACGTCCCCCCAACCTTCTCAAAGAGAAAGCTCAAGCATTTGTTACTTCCATTTGGACAAAGCCGTCTTAGTTGAATTCAGATACACGGTGTGAAACGGTCTCAAAGATGCATAAGGGATGTTAATTTCGGCCAGAACAGCCAACCCTTCATTCAAATATGTTCTCGCAGTGCGAGCGGCCATCCAACGACCCTGGAGAAGAATGCGATCTAGCGATCCATGTCGACTAAACCAGAAAGTAGCTCCACCTCGTCTCAAGGAGTAAGGCCTAAACTCCCAAGACTCTAAGGATAGAGCAGATAACGCGGCGGAAAAAGATTTGCGCCACGTTTGGGGAGAGGCACAAAGGAGACTTCCAGGAGGGGTGGCACGTTTCCAGTGAGCTAGTCTCCGAACAACTTCAGTAACTGCTACCGTGACACTCTCAGCTGCCCCAGCACGCTTGCCGCCTTTAGTGTATCCCAGGGAGATAACGGCAGTGGATGCTTGTAAGTCAACAGTCACATCTTTGTTCCTGATACCAAGGAGCTCACCGGTCCGAAGCATTCCGTAAAAGCCTAGTAACAGCGACAGTGCCATTCCTTGCTGACGATGGAAGATGTAGTATCCTACTAGACTATGAAGTACACGCTCCGGCAAGGGGGGGGCGCGGTTTGGTATTTCGTTGCTGTTCCATGCTTTCAGCAACCGCCAAGCGCCAGGGATTGACCCCCGAAGGCGTGGGCTGACGTCCTGCAGGGAGGCAAGAGTGTCTGACGCCAAAGCGCGACCCTCCCCGGACGCCCATAGATGCTCAAGGTAGTCACACAACAGGCCATCAAGGGCCGATTTTTGCTTTGGAAGTTCGATGTTGTTGAAGTCAAGATAGGCATAGAACTGTGACTTTGCTTTATCATAGCGGATTCGGGTACGTGGTTGCAGAGTAAGGTTCTTCAGGGTTCCCATTTGCTTGCGGATAGTTTGTCTCTGTTGCTTCGTCCGACCTTCTAACCTCTTTTGACCTTTCCCCATTTGCGACACTTGATCCGCCGGCTGGGCCGGTCGGCCGGATTCTGTGACGTGTGGATGTAGGTCCACACGGGGTGGAGGTTGGACGCTAACAACAGAGAGTTTATCCGCATCAACGTACGACGAAGGCGTACACTGGAGCTACGGCCCCTACTCAAAGAGTGAAGAACTACTAAACTGTCAACCAGGTGTATCACCCGACAATTCCAGGTTTTGCGTTTTTGGAGAATCCACTTGATAGTTGTCAGAGTAGCCCGCAATTCCAGGAGATTTATATGGTCGCCTCCCGACTTCCATTGCCATCCGGTGACTTCTTTCCACTTCCAAAGTTTTCCAGGGACTGTTTGCCGCAGCCTCTGCGACTTAACCACAGGCTCTGAGGCCCCTTGAAGGAGGAGGTCCTCCCCTTTGATCGATACCAACGTTCCCAAGCGACGTGCGAGGCCTACGTCTGGATGCGTAGTAGTAGTCTCTCGCCGTAATGGAGGCCGTTGAAGAACTGTTTGTAATCGTCTGCCCTTTCCCGGGGCACAACGATCTACAAGCTCCTGCACAGAGCAAGGCGGGACTACCCCGAGCCGCTCAAAGAGTTGCTTCATGAGCAACAGCACCACTGGGACCGACCATGTGTTCCCCAGGAGGGTTTTTCTCATATCCTCCCATGCGGTTCCCTGCCTTTGCTGCTTTGGGAGACATTGTTCAGTGTAATGAGCTGGAAACCCAAGGATAACTTCCCGCTCAATAATTGATGCCACACGAACCTCCTTCTGTGCATGGTGAAGACAGTTCTCTGGCTTGTATTGGTAGGGGGGATAACGGTGGGAATCCCTTCCCCAGCGTTCCAGCGTTGCCTCATCACATGTGTGGAGCCCAGCAGGCCGCCGGCCGGGCTTAGCCGATGGTCGCGCTGTTGTGAAGGTAGGCAGCCTAACCCCAGGAGGCAGAAACCACCCCGGCTCCAGATAGTCCTTGGCATTGATCGTCGCATGCAATTCGACAGGAGAATAAACCTCCCAGCCTGTACCCACGGGTGTCTGTGGGGAGATGCCTTCTTCCGACTCTATGTCCCAGGTCAGCCAGTACAACCGGGGGCGGCGGCATAAGCTAACACCTACTGCGTCCACCCGCAACGGTTGCAATTCCAAGTCGTGTGACATAGCTCCCCGATCGGCCCCATCCATTGAGGCAACACTTTCGCAAAGGAGGTGAACCTGTGCCCAGGGGAAATATTGTTGAACCAAACCCCGGATTCGCGGGACTTCCTTGTACAAGGAGCTACGAGCTCCCCTTTGGGATCCCGCACGGTCCACATTGAGCCCACTCACATCTTGACAAGGGGGTCCCGCCCCCAGCAGGACCACCCCCACAGAGGGGTAAGAGCGGGCCCACTCCTGAACCACCTCCTTATCAATGTCTTGGACTTGTCCATAATGTAGACTGCCTGGAAAGGCTGCCTCCACTACACGCTGGGCTCCTGCATGACACTCCACGCTCACATGGCCAGCCACAGGAAGATGTAGAAGCTCAGCTGCTACCCTGAGAGCCGATATACCGTCAAAGAGGCCTACTGTCAGCACTTCTACTGTTGAGAAGGGCTCCTCTTCCTCGCCCCGGAGTAGAGCGCTCTGGGCCAAGTGGCCATAAGAGGTCAACCCAACTGACGCACAGATGCCACCCCCTGTAGAGGAGGCATCGCTTGCAGTGACTTGCGGCTCCATTCGAAGCCGGAAATCCATTTGTGCGAGCGGGATCAAGGCAATAAACCGCAACACCTCAGCTTTCACTTCTCGCGGAAGCAGCTTACGAACTACGGGTGGATCCTTCTTCATGTCTTCAATATGGCGCCATATGGCGTTGAGGCTGCCCAGCAGCTGTCGTCGGAAAAGCGATATGTAGACCAACCCCCCAGCTACCACTTGAACTTCACGTTGGGTTGCACGACCACGAGACACAAGCTCCCATGCTAGCCCAAGATACTTCATTATCTTGTCAGGCTTCGCGTAAGCAACCCCTGCCTCCCCATCCAGGAGGGCTCCCTGTATCTCTGCCCTCAAGGAGCTTTCAACACTCTTCTTTGGATGCCGCGGGAGCTCCAGCTCTAGGTATTTCTCTCGGAGAGCCTGCTGTTGCTGAGACGGTACGCCTTCGATCTCTTGGGCAAGTGAAGCATCCATCTTCCTAATCTCATCCCAGTTGTCCAAATAGACCCGAAAGAGCTCCTTTGAAACTGGGGCAGGTCTATCCCGTCTCAACTCTCGTTCCAAGCCACCAGGGCCACCACCTTCACGTCGGCTCCATTTAACCACGTTGCGATGAATATGTTGGGCCAAACCTACTGAGTTAAGAAACCCCATCGGGAGGACCCGCGATACAAGGTGGCAGGGCTCTCCTCCCCAGCCAGGAGGACACAACCAGGAGGGAACCTCCCGTGCAAAGCCCATAAAACGTTGCCACCCAGCAGGAATACGGAACAGGTAGTAAAAACACTTAATGTCTTCGCTTCCCATAACAGCTACTTCTCCGTCTTCCAAATAAAATGAGTTCAGCCCCGAAATGGTTGGCAAAGTACCCACATCGCCCGCGAACGGGACACACAAGCCATTGAGAGGAACCATATTCATTATAAGTCGATGTAACTCAATGGTCCCTTGAAACTCATTTTTACTGACCGAGAAAAGTCCGTTGAGCAGGGGTTTACCCCCAACATGATACAATTCCCGTTGCGGAAGAATCCCACAAATACCCATCTGCAGAAGCCCCCGGCACACCTCCGGCCAGTCCTCCCCGCTGACCATAGTCCGAGGCACTCGCCCCAGTCGTTGTTGATCCTCGGGCAGCATAAATTTTTCAAACTCAGAGAGGTACATTCGGCAGCCCCCCGTGCAAAAATCTGCAATATCCAGTGTAGCAACTTCAGGGGGGAAAGCCGCTGAAATACTTTTCCAGTTAAATGACCTAGCCAGCTTTACTTCCTCACCTCGATAGTCTACACCTTTGACACGAAACAGGTCATCAAAAGAAGTTGAAGGTACCCGCTCTGTCCAACACCACATCCTATCCAGGAAAACCAAAACCGTTTGCACCACCTGTTTTTGCAACTCTGTCGGCTGCACTGTCGAAGAAAGCCCCGCTCCGTAAAAGGAGTTCAGAGCCAGGAGAATCGCCCTAAGCCAAGGCCGCTTTGAAGGATGAACCTCATCATAATCTCCCAAAGGCAATGGAAATAAAAACTCCTTTGCCGTGGTCATGGCCTTGCTGGTCCGTTTCCACAAATGCTGTTGGAGAGATTGAAATAAAGGTTCACCCAAATCTGAGAAATGGCAGCCAGCCCAATTGGTGGGCACCTTATCACACACCCCTGTACGGTGAAACACATCATCCACCCCTTTCATGGTGGGATCTACCGGCCTAGAAGCGGCACTTGCAGCCGGCATGCCAAGCTCGACATGAGCTCCATCTACCCGCTCAGGTGCCGTGCCAGTAGCAGCAAAACAAGGTGGGGGTACACCTGGCTCCAAGCGCTGCCAGTCGTGAAGTGGCTCAGAGTCAGCCCCCCACCCCTGAATTCCATCATGCAAACCTTTCCGAGGAGAGGTGAGGGAAACGCCCGACACCGCAAGAAATGGCGCCGTCCCCACACTCTCCCGCTCATCGTTCATCCTTTCCACACCACTCCCCTCCAGGAGGGTCTCTTGTATCTTCTGACCTGATCTCATCTCATCACACTGTCTGCCAGGGGTCCACCTCAACCCCCTTTTGCCCTCTTCGGATCTGCTTTGTCGCCGTCGCCCTTCTTCTGGTCGCTCTTGCCGCCTTTGCCTTTTGGTTGACCTTTCTTTCCACCTCCTTTCACCCACTCTTCGCTCTTGGCCCCTGCTGAGCCTCGGGTCCCGTAGGGTCGGCTGGCCTCCAATCTCGCCCTGCCGTCCTCCCGGGCCCGGCGAGCGGCTTCCGTAAACTCTGGCACTGAGCTCATGCTGATCTCCTCCTTGGGCAGCAACTCGGTTTGTTGAGCCACTGTATAGTGCACGCCGCTCATCATCATTTCGAGCGCCTTGAGGCGCTGCGCCCCCACATCGAGGCACTCCGCCACCCGGCCGCGGAGGCCAAGATCCAGCATGTGAGCCAGAGTCTGCGCTTCCCGGCGCATGGCCGGGGACATCTTGGTGGCCAAGTTCTGCTTGAAGTAGCGGGAGAACAAAGGGGGAAGAGTCCCCCCCTGGACATCGTAGATGCCCCCCTCTTGGGTGACCAACGCATCGCTGGCCTCTTCCAAGGCCGCCGTCAGGAGCACACCCGGTAGTCTGCGACCGATGGTGTGCACCCGGTTCGTTGAGCCAAACAGCGCTCGATCTTCTGAGAGGCTGCTTGTGCTCCCTGAGGAGGACCCTGTCGACTCCCCGCTGGAACCTTTGCTCTTCCTGCGAGCAATCCGAGCTGCCTTCTTGCGGCACTTTCTCCTCATCTTGGGGTTTGGGTCTGCCCCTGTGGCTCCCAATACCACCGCAATGTCCTTCCTGCCCTCTAGTTTGAACCTGCTGCTCCTTCCTCGCCGGCTGCGGCTCCTCTTCTTCTCCGTCTTCCTTCGTTTTCGAGGAGGGCTCTCTGAGGCTTTCTCTAAGCCGCGGACCCCCTCCCCCCGAGTGTCCTGGTGATGCTTCCTCTTGTCGGCGCGCAGCTCGGCCAGCTCGTCCTCGCCGGGGCCTCGACGCTCCTCGGGCAGCATGTTTGTCATCCACTCCTCTCGCGCAGCCTCCAAACGCCTCAGTTTGCGAATGTGCAGAAGCCCATCCTCGTGGGGCGTCCCGGGGCAATCCTTGGGGCACAAGTGCCCTCGAACCACACGGTCCGGCTGGCCAGACGCCCACTTGAGCAACCCCTCGCACTGAGTACCCAGCACCTGGGCCCCAATCATCTTCTGGCCATCCTTCAGTTTCACCTCTGACACCCGTAAAGCTGCTTTGAGGGGTGCCTCCCAATAACTCCCGCTGACAACCTCGACCTCCTTCAAGTTCTGGCATTCCTCTAAGGAGATTTGGCTGCAATCAATCTCCCCCGCCTCGTCTCCTGCGTCACCGGCTTCACCGCCGGCAGCAGGCCGCCGTAAGCCTCGACCTCTCCTCAAACCTGCCTTGGCCACTGCAACAGCTGCTGCAGGTCGTCGGAGCTTAGGGGGCATTATCGCCTCCCCCGCCGCGCTCCCCGCCAGAAATCTCGGTTCCGCTTGCGCTTTGAAACGCCCTTGTTCTTCCCGAAGTGACGACCCTGGCCAGGAGGCAGCTCCCGCGGTCGAGCTCTGATGGGGCCTGCCCACTGAGCTCCAATGGGACGGCGGCTTGGTGGGTGTCTCGGCAACGGCGGTCTTGCTGGGCTATAAGACGGTGACCTGGGTCTGGCTTTCCTCCTCCTCAGGGCTTCCACGTTCCTCTCAGGGGAGCTGTCTCCTCTCACCCCCGACGGCTGGACAGGGCTGGCCCACCGAGTCCGTGATCTTGAGCGACTCCTTCTGCGACTGCGCGACTTTCTAGTCCTCTTCTTCTTCTCTCGCTTTGGTGTCTTCGATGCTCTTTCTTCCTTATGACTGCGTCCAGAGTGATGAGATGATGATGGCTCTGCTTTCCCGCCTCCTGCCTCAGGTGTTTCCTCCACACCCGGTGTCTCTTCAGGCGGAGGAGGCGGCGGTAGAGGAGCCCCAGCTTTCGGTGTAGCTCCCGCTACCTCTGGCTCCACAGGTGCCGCTGCAGCACCCGCAATAGGTGGCTCCCCAGGGTCTTCGTTCTTAGGAGCCACCCCCTTCGGACAAGGAACGACGCCACGTAGGGTCTCACTCAGATCCTGAGCCTCCCCTATCCAAGTCCGCACCTGCGTCAGCAGCACCTCCCCAGTGTGAGGAGGTAGCTGAGGTCCTCTGCAGTACGCGGCCAGGCGGTCCAGTGAACGACACACCGCGCAAAGGCCTCCGCTGACAATGGCCCACTTCCCTTGACAGGCCGGACAGGCAGTGGGAGGCATATACCTAACCTTTAAGCCAAATGCTATATCAGAAAATACAGGTGTGTGTCTTTAAACCCGGGTCGGATTACCATATATTCACTGCAATTACAGTATGTACATCTACAATCATGTACATACATATTAGATGTGAGTAAACGAGGTGTTCTTGGATCGGCGGTTGATGATATTGTTTTTTTGCATATTTTGTTATGTTTTATTCATCATGGGTAGATCCATTAGTTTTCATTGGTTTTTTATTTTTTTGACGATGGTTTTCAATAGTTTTCATTGTTTATATGGTACAACCGAAAGTTATAATGCCACCTTGGTGGAAAGACATGAATTTCAAGGAAAAAAACTGTGTACCGCGTGAGAAATCTGGGAGGCATTCTAACCTTATTTATTTAGTCCTGAAACCCCTTAAAAAAAAAGTACGGCATTCGGTGATTGTTCATTATTTTCAAGATGTTGTTCATTATTTTTCAGTTATTTTTCATTATGTTCAAGGTGTTCCATTATTTTTCATTGATTTTTTAATGTTGTTACATGTGTTTCATTATTTTTCATTGATTTTTCAGTGTTTTAGATATGTTTTTCATTATTTTTCATTATCTTTTGGGTAGATGCTTTGCAATTTACATGCATTTTCTGCACATTTGCAGCACCATATGCATGCACGGGACGGTCGAAAATGCGACAAGAATTTTGGAGTTTTAAGAGTTTCAGGACTAAATAAATAGGATTAAAATGTTTCAGGACTAAATAAATAGGGTTAGAATGCCTCCCGGATTTCTCACGCTCTACGCGGGTCTTTTCTTGAAATCCACTTGGGGCCACCAAAGCGGCATTGATTTTTTAATTATGTGTCATTGGTGTTTCATTATTTTGAAGATTTTGTTCATTAATGTTCAATGATTTTTTGTTATGTTCAAAGTGTTTTTAGTTATTTTTCATTGATTGTTCAATGTGTTTACATGTTCTTCATCATTTTTCATTAATTGTTCAATGTTTTAAAGATGCCTTTCATTATTTTTCATTGTATTGTTGGGTAGATTTCATGCATATTCTGCATAATTGTAGTACATGGAAGACACGGGACGGTCGAAAATTCGAAATTTTGGAGTTTTGGGGTCTTCAGGACTACATAAATAGGGTTAGAATGCCGTCCCAGATTTGTTTAAGGGTTTCAAGACTAAATCCGCCGACCCCGGCCTTGGCCAAGGCAGGGGCGGCGCCTGGGACCACCGCAGGTGTGGAACTTCTCCTTCTTCGCTTTCCAAGGTCAAACCCATCTCGCAGCCAGCAAGCTGCCCCAAGGCCACATCGCGTAAACATTCTCCTGGCATGCTTCGTCCTCCAGTTAAGACTTCCAGGCATTTGGACATGAAAATTGCATGCTTTGGGAAACCCTTAAAACGCTGACTTGGCATGCTTCATCCTGCAGCCAACAGCCACCCCGAGGCCACACATCAATGGCTTCTTATGGGCCGCTGAAACAACGCCTTGGCATGCTTCATCTTGCAGCCAACAGGCACCCCAAGGCCACACATCAATGGCTTCTTATGGGCGTCCAAGCCTGCCGTTTGCCAGCCCTTAAACCCTTAAAACCCTCCAAACTCTCCAAACCCTTAAAACCCTTAAAACGCTTACTTGGCATGCTTCATCCTGCAGCCAACAGCCACCCCAAGGCCACACATCAATGGCTTCTTATTGGCCGCTTAAACTTAAACAATCCCTTGGCATGCTTCATCCTGCAGCCAACAGGCACCCCAAGGCCACATATCAACGGCTTCTTATGGGCGTCCAAGCCTGCCGTTTGCCAGCCCTTAAACCCTTAAAACGCTGACTTGGCATGCTTCATCCTGCAGCCAACAGCCACCCCGAGGCCACACATCAATGGCTTCTTATGGGCCGCTTAAACAATCCCTTGGCATGCTTCATCCTGCAGCCAACAGGCACCCCAAGGCCACATATCAATCGCTTCTTATGGGCGTCCAAGCCTGCCGTTTGCCAGCCCTTAAACCCTCCAAACCCTCCAAACCCTTAAAAACCTTAAAACCCTTGCAACGCTGACTTGGCATGCTTCATCCTGCAGCCAACAGCCACCCCGAGGCCACACATCAATAGCTTCTTATGGGCCGCTTAAACAATCCCTTGGCATGCTTCATCCTGCAGCCAACAGGCACCCCAAGGCCACACATCAATGGCTTCTTATGGGCGTCCAAGCCTGCCGTTTGCCAGCCCTTAAACCCTTAAAACCATCCAAACGCTTCAAACCCTTAAAAACCTTAAAATCCTTGAAATGCTGACTTGGCATGCTTCATCCTGCAGCCAACAGCCACCCCAAGGCCACACATCAATGGCTTCTTATGGGCCGCTTAAACAATCCCAAGGCACACATCAATGGCTTCTTATGGGCGTCCAAGCCTGCCGTTTGCCAGCCCTTAACCCTTAAAACCCTACAAACGCTTCAAACCCTTCAAAATCTTAAAACCCTTAAAACGCTGACTTGGCATGCTTCATCCTGCAGCCAACAGCCAGGCCACACATCAATGGCTTCTTCTGGGCCGCTTAAACAATCCCTTGGCATGCTTCATCCTGCAGCCAACAGGCACCCCAAGGCCACACATCAATGGCTTCTTATGGGCGTCCAAGCCTGCCGTTTGCCAGCCCTTCAACCCTTAAAACCCTCCAAACCCTCCAAACCCTTAAAAACCTTAAAACCCTTCAAACGCTGACTTGGAATGAACAGGCACCCCAAGGCCACACATCAATGGCTTCTTCTGGGCCGCTTAAACAATCGCTTGGCATGCTTCATCCTGCAGCCAACAGGCACCCCAAGGCCACACATCAATGGCTTCTTATGGGCGTCCAAGCCTGCCGTTTGCCAGCCCTTAAACCCTCCAAACCCTCCAAACCCTTAAAAACCTTAAAACCCTTAAAACTCTGACTTGGCATGCTTCATCCTGCAGCCAACAGCCACCCCGAGGCCACACATCAATGGCTTCTTATGGGCCGCTTAAACAATCCCTCGGCATGCTTCATCCTGCAGCCAACAGGCACCCCAAGGCCACACATCAACGGCTTCTTATGGGCGTCCAAGCCTGCCGTTTGCCAGCCCTTAAACCCTCCAAACCCTTAAAAACCTTAAAACCCTTACAACGCTGACTTGGCATGCTTCATCCTGCAGCCAACAGCCACCCCGAGGCCACACATCAATAGCTTCTTATGGGCCGCTTAAACAATCCCTTGGCATGCTTCATCCTGCAGCCAACAGCACCCCAAGGCCACACATCAATGGCTTCTTATGGGCGTCCAAGCCTGCCGTTTGCCAGCCCTTAAAAACCCTCCAAACCCTCCAAACCCTAAAAACCTTAAAACCCTTAAAACGCTGACTTGGCATGCTTCATCCTGCAGCCAACAGGCACCCCAAGGCCGCACATCAATGGCTTCTTATGGGCGTCCAAGCCTGCCGTTTGCCAGCCCTTAAACCCTTAAAACCCTCCAAACCCTTAAAAACCTTAAAACCCTTAAAACGCTGACTTGGCATGCTTCATCCTGCAGCCAACAGCCACCCCAAGGCCACACATCAATTCTCTTAGGCGTCCAAGGTTGCCGTTTGCCAGCATTTACACAATTCAAACGATACCCCAAAGCCAGATCAATAGCTTCTTCTCAGCGTTCCAGCTTGCCGTTTACCACCTTTCTCTTTCACAACGCCGTCCTTGACAGAAAACTGCTTCCCACAGACCCTTCGATGGTCTACTTGCCCTGTCTTCACGTCACTGGCCACATTCCCTTTGCAAGCGGGGCAAATGTAAACATACGCTTTCTCCTTCACAACGCCGTCCTTGACTGAAAACTGGTTCCCACAGACCGTTCGATGGTCTAGTTGCCCTGTCTTGACATCACTGGCCACATTCCCTTTGCAAGCGGGGCAAATGTAAACATACGCTTTTTCCTGCACAATGCCGTCCTTTACAGAAAACTGGTTCCCACAGACCGTCCGATGGTCCATTTTCCCTGTCTTGACGTCACTGGCCACATTCCCTTTGCAAGCGGGGCAAATGTAAACATACGCTTTTTCCTGCACAACGCCGTCCTTGACTGAAAACTGGTTCCCACAGACCGTTCGATGGTCTATTTTCACTGTCTTGACGTCACTGGCCACATTCCCTTTGCAAGCGGGGCAAATGTAAACATACGCTTTTTCCTGCACAACGCCGTCCTTGACTGAAAACTGGTTCCCACAGACCGTTCGATGGTCTATTTTCCCTGTCTTGACGTCACTAGACACATTCCCTTTGCAAGCACGGCAAATATACACATATCCTTTCGCAACGACCTGCGCATCCCACACCTGGAAACGGTTACCACATGCGCGCCGGTGATCTACTTGGCCCGTGCGTATACTGCTCCTCACAGACTTTTGGCAAGCGGGACAAACATTGGAAACTCTTGCCTTCCCCCGACGTCTCCGTCGCACTCTCCGGAGAGGGAATATCGAACTGAGTCCGATCCTTCTGGGCAGGACGCTCAATTAGCAAGGCTGAAGAGGCTGCAGAGTCCAAGGAACGCTCAAGTTGGAGCCAACCCCCCAGAAGGGGGGTCGGCGGCACCCGGGCGCTAGCCCATTCTATAAATAGAGTTAGAATGCCTCCTGAATTTCTCACGCGGTACGCGGGTGTTTTTCTTGACGTCCACATCTTTCCACCAAAACGTCATTCTAACTTTCGGTCCGTCGGTATAAATCGAAAATGTTTCATACCTGTTTGATAAGGACAACAGTATAAATCGAAATTCTAATCGTCGAAGGGAGTTTAGAAGTCAACTTCCGACACTATGGACAGATGAAAAGCAGAGATGAGAAGAGTAAGAGAAGAGAAGAGAAGAGAAGAGAAAAGAAGAGGAAGAGAAGAGGAAGAGAAGAGAAGAGAAGAGAAGAGAAGAGAAGAAGAAAGAGGATCAAAGGAGACAGTCAGAAGAAAGAAGGTCCAGGTGCGCGAAAAGGTAGGAAAGTCGCGAAACACTTGTGTTTTTCCAATGAGTTGTGGCTCCAGAGGGTCGAAAAGTAGGCTCGCTAAAGCGGCGGATTCGGAGCCATCTGGCCAGATGAGAGATGAAAAATTGCACGCCGTTGTGGCGCGAAGCACGTTTCCAAGTCAAAATGCACAAAGCACACCAATGTCGGACCACTCTTGGAAGTCTAGATGTCGAAAAAGTGCACACCGTTGTGGCGGGAAGCAGATTTCCAAGTCCAAATGTTAAAAAAAAACACCATGTTCGGACCACTTTTCGAAGTTGACATGTCGAAAAAGTGCACACGGTTGTGGCGTGAAGCACATTTCAAAGTCAAAAGTTTTGGACTTTCAGATGTTGTTTTGCGTGGCAGGCGCAAAGGATTGTGCACCTTGTCAAAAGTGAGAAAACCTTGAAGGTTTTGTAGCAGTTTCAACTACAACCACCACTACACTACACTACACTACACTCCACTAAAGTCCGCTACACTACACTGCAACTACAACTACAACTGCCACTGCCACTGCAACTGCACTACGCTACACTACACTGATTACATTACACTACACTACACTACACCACACCACACTACACTAACTACAACTGCAAGCTACAACTACGCTACTTCAACTACACTAAACTACACTAGACTACACTACACAAGACTACATTACATTACACTACACTACACTCATTACACCACCACAAATGCAACTGCAACTACACTACACTAATTACACCGCACCACAACTACAACTCCACTACACTACAACTACAACTACAGCTGCACTACACCACACAACATCCAGCAGTTGTGGGTGAGGTGACCGGCCAGGTGACCACTGCAACCATTGTAACCACTCCAAAAACACAACTCCAACCACCTTTCAGTCCATCAGTGGATTCGCTCTGCCATCCATGCATCACAACAACTCACCTCTCCTATAGTGTTCTATCTTTGAAACTTCCGCCACCGCCTTGTGCGGTACTACTGGTAGTAACACTCGCAGTACAAGGAATGAAAATGGTTTTCTTTAAAACGTGTACGAAAAAACATTTGAGTCAGTGTTTGGTGCCAAAGACGGTAAATAGGACGGTACATAACTTGGTGCCATTGAATTGGATGGTGTGTTCGAAGGTGTTTGTGTTGGAGAAATAGAACCAGTGCACCTAACATGAAAGGACACATATGTTAAATACTGCTGCTTCAATGAAATAAACATCTCTAGCTCGCACGCACGTGCGTAATATTCAAGTGTTGTCAGTATTGTATTCAAAAAAGTGAGATACTTAAGGTTTTGACCTAATGCCAACACAACAATGGTCTCTCACCATACGTTTTGACATACTTTATGACATAAAAAACACACGGCGATGTTTTCAGGTGGCGGGTGGTGTTCAAATGACGAATGCTATGCACTAGGTTTTGCAGATTAGCATAGCTCCAACATTCCATGTCTTTAATACACTTGTCACTATGTCTGATTGGCAATCCAATTGTGTTATCCAACATGTATGAGCTCAACCTGTTCCAGGAAGGTTCCAGCAAGGCTTTAAGCAAGGTTCCAGCAAGGTTCCAGGACTGGTCCGGTTTTTCGGGGCGTGCAATTTCGCGGCACCACCCCCCGGCCCCAGAGATTCAAACCCAACACTATTACTGTTGGGAACATGCAAACATCATATTTTCTCCATCATCTTCCCATCCAAAGAGTGGAAAATTAATATCGTCATGTTCTTACCACAGGGCTGACCTGATTCCCAATTTTTCGCACCTCACGTGATTGTGGCTTGTGATGTTGAAGCCCGTGCCCACTGCAGCACTGAGAAGTTGAGGTTCCTTCAACACTTCCTTAGGCGTTCGAAACATATGGCAATTGGATGCTGCTAACGATCCAACAATCCCTTCCAGCTATAAAGAGCCCTCCTAGAAACCCTGGTTTACTAAACGATCAGTTTTCAGTTTTCATGGCCATTTCATCCAGCCATCGCCGAGATGGGACACGGTATGGTCAGGTTCAAAGCACCCATGGGATGGTGTCCATGCTCCAGTCGAATTCCATTTGAAAATGGGCTACATAGGTCAAGAGGCATCTTTACTTCTTGAAAATCCAGAGATTTGAGTGGGTTCATCGCAGCAAGAATAAAACAATATCTATGTGTGTATTTATATATATATATATGTATAAACATTGTATATATATATGCTGTTTCTGAGCAAATCCCCTAGCGACCCAGTCGTTGCCCTCAGTTCTTGTCCGCCACACGCAATCCTGGCGGATTTCGACAGGTTCGAGCGGTGCAGCACTTGGTGCTTCGAGGGTGCCAGTATCAAATCTCCATTTCTCTCTCCAAACCTCTACAAAACTCATCTGTGCTTCGTATACAGTAACTCTTCCTGTGAAATCTTTCTCTTCTTGACTTCGCATGCGGGACTATCTGGTCCTTTAGCTATTTAAATCCTTGTTTTCCATCAAATTCATTGAGTCAAAATGATCCAAACCCAATTTTCCCTGAAATTGTCTGGTTGAATCGTGTGAAATCGTGTTAAATCCGCAATTTTCACCACCAGCACAGCACATCTCACCCTTCCTGTGAGGTCATTTCCAAAGCCCGGCGAAAGTGTCCCGCAGACTGATCCACCAACAGCAGACCCTTGGTGAAGGACTGGTGCCCGCTGTAGTGGGTATAGATCTGCCAATCGACCTGATGGACTGAGGACAGACTGAGTTCAAAGGTGAATTTCTCATACCAGTAATGGACAGTAATGGGGTAAACCCAATGCCATCTCCATCCCCAAGTCATCACCGTTTTGGTGGGAGACTCAAACCATCCCCAGTGGAGTTGTTTATGGCAGCCAGGGTTTCTCACTACTTGACATGTGGTGGAAATGATGCTGTGATTTTTTAATGATGGTGTCACACAATGGTGTACTGTAATGTAATCTGATGGAATGTAACTCAGTGTAACTCAACGTAAGGTAATGTAATGTAATCTAATCTAAAGTAATGTAATCTAATGTAATGTAATGTACTGTAAGGTAATGTAATGTTATGTAATATATGTAGTTTACATTAATATACATTAATATACATTAATATACATTAATATACATACATATACATACATATACATACATATACATACTATTCTGCGCACATGCATTCATGTATGGATTACGTATGGACCGTATGGACTGGTCGAAACGTTTTTGTTTTGGAGCGCCCGTCAGGATTCTGGCAGAGAGTGCGTCAAACAAGACGGGCACAACACTGGGACGAAGCACCGCCATGAAACAAATCTGTGGTGAATCCCCCCATGGCTTTCAAAATGTTCAAATCCCCAGTTTTTGGGCAAATCTGAAACAACAAAATCAAGCAGCTGAATGTGTTCTAATTTCGCCCAAGGGGCATCCGATTTTTCAACCCTCCCCTCGGAATGGAATTCTGCTTGTGGTCCAGAAAAGCGCCACAGCGAGAAGCTGCCCTGGTTCAACAGCAGGTAGTGCTTTCCATCCTTGGTGACGTTCGCGATGGAGCGACCGTGTTGTGCATATTTCTCAAAGGTGATTTCCGGACAAACAGAATACTGTAAAGCACAACTTTGGTCACATGGCCTTGCAATCTGCTGTGTCAAGAGCGCAAACCATTGGAGAAGCGCCTCGAAATTTCGGAAATGCTATTTTCACCTAGGTAAAAACGCCTTTTGGTGAAATAGTGTTCTCCCAGCTCATCTCATTCCAGCAATTTGACTTTCTTAGGAATTTCCAGCCTGACAGACAGAGTATCCTGGTCACAGGAAATCAAGCATTTTATGTCACTTCCAGCTGATCTTCACAGGTTCCAGGCCAGTCAGGGGCGTCTTTCCACGCAGCAAAGGTATCGATGTGCGGAGCTGGATGTTTTTTCCGTCCCATCCACCATGACAACCTGAACCCCAAGCCTAGCGTAGCATGTGCTGCGTGTGCAACTTCAAATGAACGTCGGTAGCCCACCCCACCCTATGTGTAGCAAGTGCAAAGGAAAAAATTATTATGGTCACCTGAGAGGCAGCAAAAACATAGGCTTTCATGGGTCGATTAAAGTAGTTTCCAAAACGTGTCCTATCAATTACAGTCTGTTGTTTCTTTCGTTCGGTCAGTCTACTCGTTCTTCGTTTGATCGCTCAGCCGGCCACCAGCTAGTCGGTCAGCGAGTCACTTTGCCAATGTTGACTTTCTTTATTCTCGAATTGGCTCACATTGGTTTCATTGATGTCTTCCGCTTTAGTTGTGCATTTCATCCATGTCACCCATGTCATGAATTTTATTTACTGTGTCCATGTCATTTGTTTGATCTGTGTCACCATCTTTTGCGTATCACTAATTTCCTTTCATTCCTTTCATCAACTTTATCGCTTTCATTCATTCATTTCATTCACTTCATTCATCTCATCCACCATTGGCATTCCATTGGCTTCCTTCACTGTAAAACTTGGAGGCTCATGCCACATCCAGAGGCGAAAATCAAGAACGGTTTGTCTCAAAATTCTGAGACCCACAGAATGACCATTAAAGTGGCCATTTGTTTACTAGTTGGGATACACAATGCTGAAACATATCCAGATTTGAAGCAACCAACCAGCAAGTATATAATATAAAGTACCGCGATCTACCAATCAAAGCCGTCCCACTTGATACCCAAGGCTCCAAAGTGCTGATGTGTGGATCACCGATGACCCCTCCTAAAAACAGGTGGCATCAAGAGACTGGAATGCAGGGACCCGCGGTAGTGTACGGTTGAACCAATGATCTCTGGGAAAATTATGATGGGCCTGGTGAACAGAATCATTGACGTTTGTGGAACCCTCATGAATGATCTACTGATCTACAGTCATGTACACAATCTGCTATCATGTAACACTTTACAATCATTTACAGTACCATTTATGCAACAATTCGTTTTTTGTTGTCAAAAATGGCGTCAACATCCACTTACCCGATTTCTAGGAAAGGATGCCAACATCGTCATTGATCATCATCCCATGGGTCCAAGCATAAAACGACCAGACAATGATAAAGAAATGGCCCATTGATATCCCCATTGGACCATTTTTATGTTGGAAATTGTTTCAAAACATCTGGCTGAAGCTCGGTTTACCCTGTCCTGGTGGTGGTGGGTTCCCTGGTGGGTTCGGCCTGCAATACCTGCGTTGCCGGTGTTTGAGGCTTGACAAACGGAAGATTTGCTTATGGCCTATGGAAAACCTGGTTTTAACCAATACTAGTCTGGAATTTTGGGGATATGATTAATCAAGTATTCCATTTATAAGTGCGAATGAAAAATGTGCAAACACCCAATAATTTTTGCTTTTAGAATTGCCATGAATGGGGGCAATGAATGGGGGCAATGAATGGAGGCATCCATCTGAAAGAAAGCGATCTGAAAGATGAAATCAACAATTGCAGGGAGAACCCATGTAGTTCTTCCCACTTCCAGGGTGTGGCCCCCGCCTTATGCCGTTCACACCACCAGAGCCTCTGAATATCAACGACCAATCAGTGACCTCGCGACACTGATCCAACAAACACCCCGTTTCAAAGAACTCTGACATTGACAATATTGACAGATTATGCCCCATACGCAATGTACCTACAATGAACGAATTAGGAATCAATGAGAGCCCAAATTGTCATAATGTTTCAGATTTGTTCACCTTCAATCCAAGTTTGTTCACTTCAATTCTATTTGTCGTGAAACAAATTTTCGACTTAGAAACCTTATGCGAGCTGCCATCACAGGCAAAAGTAGTGAAACCGCCTTAAACCCAGTACCCAATTTAAAAAAAAAAACTAAAAAACATTTGGCCCAAGACAAATGTCAAAATGTTGGAATTGGAGTATTTTACTTGATGGCCCTGCAAAAAAATCATTATGTACCCATTGCAAATTTGGCGACAGGTCCTTACCACTGCACAAGAAATGTCAATACGATACGCAAATTGACGCATCTGTAATGGTGGGTTTTGCCTTGTTGAAACACCTGGTTCAAATGGAACGAACATATTCATATTTAAATCGCATACATACCATACCATACCACACCACACCATACCATACCGAACCATACCATACCATACACACATGACATTCATGCATGCATGCATGCATACATACATTACATACATTACATACATTACACACATTACACACATTACATACATTCCATACATTACATACATACATACATACATGCATACATACAGACATACACACATACATACATACATACATACATACATACAAGGTGGTGCCCCATAGTTAGCTAAGTTGGTTTATAACTCCAATAACTATGGTTTATGGTACTTATAACTATAGTTAATGGGGTTTGTAAGCCAACTTATAACTGAGGGGCACCACATTGTACATACATACATACATACATACATACATACATACATTACATACATTACATACATTACATACATTACATACATTACATACATTACATACATTACATACATTACATACATTACATACATTACATACATTACATACATTACATACATTACATACATACATACATACATACATACATACATTCATACATACATACATACACCGGTGACGCCGCGGCACTTTGCGTGGCAGGCGTGGCACTTGGTCACATCTACCTTCGTTTTGCGTGGCAGGCGTGGCACTTGGTCACATCCATGCTTTGATGTCTCTACACGGAATCTTGGCGCACTGTTTGTTTGCAGCTCTGAGTTCTGCATGCGCATGACAACTCATACCGTCACCACACCAACGTTGCAACACAGTCACTTGCATTCGTTGAATGAAAAGAGGCACTTGCATTTGTTGAACATGGTTGCTTCGACATCTGCACCGCTGGGCCGCTGGAGTAAAATATAAAAAATCCTGGCGTCATGTTCTTTCCGCCTGCTACCCATGGCCTTGTGAGTGTGGAGTCGGGCGATTTGATGGCAAGCGAAATCGTGCCAGTTCCATGCGAATGTTGGCGTGTGATATCCTTTTGAAATTTAGAGGACGAAGCCGCGTGCAAGACAGGATGATCTGGATTGGTACCGAAGGGGGACGCGACTGTTATCTGTTGCAAATGGTTTGCCCCTCGGAATCGACGGGATGATTCAGATGTCCACGCTCGTGCTTTTGCTGCGTCCAGCACTTGCGCGTCTCTTCCAGTTGCGCCTCATGTTCCGGTGGCGCATACTTTCGCAAGAAAGCAGGTGCAAGGGAACCAAGGACAGTGGCTGGATGTTGACTACATTCTGATTGATTTCGTTGGGCCAAGCATGATGTCCTGGTTAATGACCGTCAATCATCGGTGGACTGGTGCATTGCTCAGTTTCGTCGCCACATCGTTCAGATTGATGTATTCGATCTTGATGTATGTCATTCGATCTTGATGTATGTCAATATCGAATACATCAATCTGAACGACGTGGCGACGAAGCTTATGTCTCAGCTTCAACCAATTCAGGTTGCAATTGTCGCAGATGTTGCAGAAATCTTTTCTGTCCCTGATGCTTTTGTGCCACCGCTCCGACCTGAGCAACCTGTCCTGGGATCAGGAACTTCTATCTGGGTCGCTCTGCTATGATGTTGTCAAGAGACGCTGGTTCTGGGACGATGCTGCCACTTTAGACGAGCAGACAGTCCAAATCTCTTGCGCCAGAGCCTGCCACAGAGCTGCGCGCCTGCTTATGCATGAGTTGCAGGCCTACATGTATGCCAAAGCAGATGCTCACTCTGTCTTTGTCCAGTGGCAAGCATGGCTGCGTATTCATTTGGGCGAGACAAAAGGATCGAACATCGATGTTGCCGGCATTGCAGTAAATCTAGGCCTCGATCACCCGGAGCCGCCGTGACACAATGGCCGTTTGGATTTTCACAGATAACATGTGGGAAGAAACCGCATGGCGAGCACTGACATTAGCTTTCTTATCTGCTGTTTTGGCTGCCGGCATTGTTGATTCAATGTGGAAAGACACGCCAAGCAGATGACGTTGGAACGCACAGTGATCCGGAATGGCTTGGCGCAATGTGCAAAGAGCCCAATCTCAGTCACACTGCGTGCGGTTGACATATTTGAGAAAAGACTGCACAGATAGCGTCATAACCATGATGCTTGCCACTCTTGGAAAGATGAAGAAACTGCGACTGTGTCGTGACTTGACAGGCATGCACTCTGTGTCTAGATATATTGTACGTGTCTTTCATAGTTGCATTCACAACCAGCTACATTCGTGTCCTACACTTTTGCGGCCAGGTACCTTTCCTCTATGTCCTCATCGTCTGATTCGTGGCTGTAGGACAGGCGCGGCTGTCACGTAGAACATCTCGTTGCACCACATGGAGCACAGAATTCATGGCACACCTCATTCAGCCCATTCCAGGCCCGCAGTGATGCCGCATGCCGAGCAGATGACATTGCAGCGCTAGCGAAAAAAAGATGTCTGCACTGATGTCGCACTCACGTCGCTTTCACGCACACCATCTTTCACACACAACTTTGTCACACACACGCACACATACATACATACATACATACATACAGACATACAGACATACAGACATACAGACATACAGACATACAGACATACAGACATACAGACATACAGACATACAGACATACATACATACATACATTACACATATATATATACATAGATACATACATACATACATACTGACTTACATACATACATACATACACACATACATACCTACCTACATACACACACACATACATGCATGCATGCATGCATGCATACATACATACATACATACATACGTACATACGTATATACGTACATACGTACATAGGTACATGCATACTATCTTTTCACATACCTTCTTGCTTTGTCACACACCATCTTTCACATTCCACTTTGTCACACACAACTGTTTTAACTTCTCGATCCCTCACCGCCTTATTTCCCTTTCCTTCCCCGTTCCTGCTACAACCTTTGATGCTCATTATTGGAAGAAGTTGACTTGTGGGGTTATCCGGTCCTTTAATTTACATGAAAGATCCCCATGCAGGCTGGAAACTCACAGCTCGTGGCCGCTTTGACAGCGGCCGGAAATGGTCGCCAAAGGAATGGAGGGAATCCATGATGCCCAGAATTGAATGTGCTCAATTGAGCAAGGAACTCGAGGAAGGCCTCATGTGGAGCCTCCACCAAGTGGAGGCGCATCCAATCATCTACGAGCCGATAATGATTGAGGACTTGGAGACAGGTGAGACCGATCCTGCAAGTGCACCCAATGCTATGGAGTCTATGCCGCAGTCATACCAAGATGCTGTCCTTCAAAGTTCAAAACGCAAGAAGAGCAAAGGTGTGAAGAGGGTGTTGAGCCTTCACTATGCCATCCAAGCCAAAAACGGGGCAGGACAATGGATCGGCCCTGAGGCCCCCATGCAGGGCATCACAGATGCTCAGAAAACTTGGATGGATGACAAAGTTGCCAGAGCCATAGCACCTGCGCCGTGGCACAAGTGAATCTGCATCCAAGCAGCTGACCTCAATGTGGTCTGGTGAAGGACCAATTTTAAGAGATGGCACATCTTCGACTGGCATATCTTCGACAGAAAAAGGTCCTTGCTGCTGCTGCTCTTTGAGGTACAAGACCTCGAGGAGGTCTTGTAGCTAATATCTCAATTGGCATCAATCTCCTCAGAGGAGATGATTTGTTTTTGAATATCATTGGAAAGAATAAAGTCTGATTTGCACAAGCTGCCCATGCTTAGTCAACAAAGTTTTGCATCCCCCCATTCACAAAAACATCTTCTTCCAACCATTGTTGCGTTCAGGCCAGACCCTGCTGCAGAGAGTTGTGTGGATCCTCAAACTGTTGCCAACTGTGTTGAGTGTAGTAGTGTTTCATATCGTGTTCCAAGTTTTTGTCTTGTGACATTGACCATCATGGAGTTTCTCTTGCATTGACTTGGATGTAGTCTGATCATCTAAGAAAGTGACACTCCTCAGAAGAGTCACTACCCACCCCATTGCATCCACATATATTTTCAAAATACAAATATATTAGTTCCAAATCTATGTATATGATATGAATAGAGTCAGCACTCCTCAGAGGAGAAATATTATATACTGAACCCTTCCACCAACATGCAACATCCATCATTCACACGTCAGCACTTGCCAAGTCAGGTTCAGAGGCAGCACAATGGCTGGGCTACCAATGGCCAGGGACCCCAATCAAAAGTGTCATGGTGGAAGTGTTGGATCAGAATAATTTCAAAACTAAGTCACAAAAAATCCGTGGTGTTAAAAAATGTTTTTAAAAACATTTTTTAACACCAATGAATTCAGCAGTGCTTTGCTTCCTGTTTCTTGCGATCTTGGTGAATGATATATGTATCTTTGCAAAGCTGGTATTGGTTCAAATACAAAATTCATTCTGCTGCCATCATGGGAAAGTCCACTGCTGCGCCCAAGAAGGCTGTCAAGCCCAGGGTGACAGGCAAGGCCAAAGCGCTAAGGCTAAGGCTGCTAGCCAACCTTCAGGAGTTGAGAGGAAGCCAATGAGGTTTCTAGGGCAGAAGTTTCCAAGTTCATCACTGCCCTGAAGTACAAAGCCAAGAACCCAAAGGATCCACAAGCTCAGGGTGCACAGATGGTCTTGGAGGATAGGGGTTACAAGAAAAAGTAAATCTAAATCTAGATCAACATGCGCCTATATATATATTTATATTTATTTCTCAAAGATGTGATCAATTAGACCTATACATTTTTGGTTGATCTTCATCATGAAATTGTTGAACTCCAACATGCATGAAACCCATATTCTGTTTTCATCATCAGTGCAATTGAAACCCTTGCCCTGCAGAAATACAACTCCATGTCGGCAGATGAGAAGAGGGCCTTGTGGCCAAGTACATTGCTGGAGGCGGGATCAAGGGCAACCTTCAGCAGATTCTCTCCAGTGTGGAATCAAGCAGCTCCTCTAAGGAGACTTCCTCTCAAGTTATTGAAGGGTACATGTCTCTAGGTATAGTTGAAGTATATTTTCTGTTTCCACTAAACAATTTTTATGGATTATACAAAACACTTAGGCCACTCCTCTGAGGAGTGATGCACAGAGTTTGCCATATATCATATAGACACACATGTGTATAGATATACACATATTTTGTATATCCATTACTTATAATACTTTTCAATATGTCCACACATATAGATATATACATATATGCATATGGTCTCGCACCATCAAGATTTATACATAAACCACATCCAGCATTTAAAACAGCATGCATTTTGCATTTTCAGCTCAGGTCAGCTCCTGAGATCTCGAAGCACAATGGCTGGAGCTGGACAGATCTAGAGCCTGCTGACAGGACCAAAGTCTTTGAAGATTTGCTCAAAGACTGCTATGAAAGGGGGATCACCACCCAGCAGGATCCACCACTCAAGAAGGAACATGCTATCCTTTGCTGAGCAAGTACTACTACATTCACCGACCAGAGCACGCCACGACCAAGGGAGGTCAGGGTTGACACAGGTGACATTCAGGTCAGCAAGATGAACCTGGCTTTGGGTGACAAAGGTCCAGACATCAAGATTGAACCATTTGCTGAGTGCCAGGGCTCATGGAAAGTGGTGGACAGTGCCAAGACCAAGGCCGCCAAAGAATATGAGGATATCATCAGTCTCTTCAAGGATCTCAAGGCTATGCACCAGAACCCTGGCAAGGACATGAAAAAACTTTTGGATGATCTTCAAGATGGTTTGAACCGGGTGGGCAAAGCCCTTGATGATTTGCGTAATGACCTTGCTGCTTCCAAGTTGGAAATTTCCAGTGACATGGACCAGGCAAAGGCCAAGGCCCTCTGTCAGAAGTTGACAGAATGGAAGGAAAAAGGAAGTCAGCACCTAGATGGGCTGAAAGCTTTGAAAAGGAGAACCCAGGCTCTCCTTGAAGGCTAAGCTCCTCTGAGGAGAAATCCTTCTCTAAACTCTGACTATACATGTGTTTTAGCCATACTCCCACACATATACATGGAGTTAAAATAAACTTTAACAAATATATTATATATGATACAAATACATATTTATAATTCCCCTGCGGATTCCATGGGGAACTCATGAGCCTCCATTTTATAATGGGTACCTAGGTGGCTTCTATAGAATCGACTTCCTATATATAAGGTGGTAGGTTTATGCTCTATAAAATCAAACACTATGTGGTCTAGAGCCCCAAAACAAGAAGATTTACTATAAAATGGAGTGCCTGGGTTACCAAGTTCCATAGTATGAATCTCAGTTAATTTGCCAACTTTTGGCTCTATAAAATCATGGGCCAGATTTTGGGCTTGCAAAAGGTGCTTTTTTGAAGATCCCAAATTTGACCTGGTCTTGGAATTTAATGATTTTATAATGGAATAATAGGACCTACTAATCTCAAAACAAACTACCAGGACCCCTTTTTCATTGATTTTATAGACAGCCATACCCCCCCTACGCTCCCCCCTCCTTCTTTCCAGACCAGAACATTTAAGTTGACAGAAATAAGTCAATGTCGCCTCGGCCATTCTTTGTGGCAACTCCATTTTTTCACATTTCTCTTGAATTGAATGATTTTTGAACAGAAAACAACCTTTCTTTCTTTTGACGCTTCAAACATCTACATCAAAATGACTTTGAAACATCTGAGATAATTTTAGACTGAAATTGATCCCCTTGTGAATTTCAAGGGTCTCCCAGAGACCGCCATTCTATAGAGGTACCTGGGTCCAACTATAACAATGGTACATTCTGAGAATCTCTCTAAAATCAAGACACAATCAGATTGCAAGAAATACGACTCTATAAAACCAAGAAACAAAAGGCACCACATGGCTACAAATGCCTGTTTTGTAACCAGGGTCACATTTTGTTCCTTTAAGGTCATTCACCTGGTCCACTATAAAATCAGGATCTCCAAAATGGTGGTTTCACAAATCCTATTGAAACATGTGGACCCTTAATATTGGGGTACCTGGTCTCTGATTTTAAAGTGGAGCTGTTTCAGGGCATGTCGATACAAGCTGGACCTGGGTCCTTGGTTTTATAGAGAAACTTCTTTTGGACGGTTGTGGCTTGGGATGCCATCAATTTCCATAGTTTGCTGACTCAGGTTCAGTCCAAAAAGAAATCAGAACAAAAAATGAAAAACACATCACATACCCGAAAAAATGGAAAACAATCGCCATTATGGAAAGGCCTCAAAATGTTTGAGGCATGTAATGACCAAATTTTGAAGTTTACAGGACATGGAGGAGGGACACATATGGGCAGAACCCAGTTTTTGAAACCTGTTGATGTTCTAAAGACAACGGTCCATATTGAAG